GGTACAAAAGGGCTCTCTGGGAGCCTTCGGGAAAGAGCTCGAGACATCTAGAAGGTGGGCAGGGTGAGGGGCGGAGCCAGCCCCAGCCCAGGCCGATATAACGGGGGCTCCATGAGGGGCTCGGGGTTCTTCGTGTTGCTGGTGATCCACATCGGGTAAAAGAAGCCTCTAGCCACGCGATCCGGGACCAAGCTTGTGGTCCGGGCCGGGATACCGAACCGTGTCTAGTTCTGCTAGATGGGCATTCAACACCCAAGTGTAGGTTGTGTTATGTTATGTTGACTTATTGAATAAAGTGTTGCTCCCAAGACAACGTCTGCAACTCACTTGGACTCACTACAACTGATGTCGGAAATGGCCAACTTGCTAAACTGTAGCTAGCGGTAGACAAGTCATGTCTACACGTCGCACAGTTCATGTACGGGCGTCGGACGACGAAGACGACGAGGAGCTGATTCCACCCACGGCCGCCGAGGATGGAGCAAAGGCGCTGCCGGCAGAGCAGAGTGGAGTCGGGGCGCGCGGCGCCTCGCCTTCGTCGGAGGAGCTTGTCAGGGACACGCACAGCCGTCTCCAAGCGGCGTCCTCGATCCTCGTTGAGATGCGGTCCCTGCCCTCGACGGCGGAGGGAGCGGCAGAGTTGTCCGGATGGGGCGACTCAGCCGCCATTTCACAGAAGGCGGGAACGCAATCGCCGCTGCCCGCACTCGCGGGTGCCATTTTGCTGCCGGCAGGGAGCGCTGAGCCTGCAAAGCTTGAAGCGGGGACGTCCTCGTCGATTAACGTCCAGTCGCTTCGCCGTCGACTGCCCTTCATTAAAAAATTTGTTGCCACCAGCGCCGATTGGATGGCGTTTAAGCGGCGATTTCTCACCAATGCCAACTTGGCGGGATGATCGGAGGCGCACGCGCTAAAAGCGCTGCCCTCCGCCCTCGACAATGATGCTTTGGCGGCGTTCCTCGCCATTCCGCTGTCTGATTTGTCGTGGGGTTCGCATCTATAGCAAAACCTCTCCACGCCTTGACAGTTAAGAGACAAAAATTTCATTGGGGGGAGGAGGAAGCTGCGTTCCGCTCTATTCGTAACGCCCCTCCCCTGCGTTATCCCGACGTTTTGGACACGGACGCCAGTAATACTGGCATTGGTGCGGTGTAATCCCAAGTCATTAATGGCGTGGAGCACGTGGTCACGTATGGCAGCAGGGTGCTGTCTCCGGCCGAGCAGCAGTACTGCGTAACGCGCCGGGAGCTATTGGCCATTGTCGTTTTTGTGCAACAATATCGGCCGTACTTGTACGGGCGACATTTCGAGGTGCGCTCCGATCACGTGGCGCTCCAGTACGCGCTGCGTGTGGATCAGCCTTCCGGTCAATTGTCACGCTGGCTCGAAATCCTGCAGGATTTTTCATTCAATGTCATATATCGTAAGGGTTCTCGCCATATGAACGCTGATGCCCTATCGCGATTGCCAGCGGGCGGGAAATGTGCTTGTTTTTCGGGTTCGGGTCTTTGTCGATTGGCCGGCTTGACCTCCCCCTCTCCTCTCGTTGCATCTGCCGCGGACACGATGGCAGGGACTGGCGACATCTCTGCTGCACGGGATGCGATTTTGGGGTTGGACTACGAGGTGTAGGGACACCGGCAGGTGGAGGACGCGTCCCTCCTTAAGTTGCGCCGGCATGTCAAGGAAACCGCCGATGGCACGGCTCCGTGGGGTGTCGCCTCGTTCGTCCCGAGGGGTGGCTTGCTCATGTACTGTGACGGAGGATTGCGCCGTTATGCTATTGTTGTCCCTACCGCACTGTGGCGAGGTTCATATTCTTACTGCAGTCACGAAAGCTTTAAATCAAAATTTGTGGCGAGGTTGTTTGGGCTGTGCATAAACAGTTGTTGCACCTCGAAGTGCAAAAGATGCTGGCTGCTCTTAAACTGGATTTTTATTGGCCGGCCATGGCCTCCGACGTCGAGGATCTGCTTAAGGGCTGCGTGCAATGTGCTCATCCAAGCTGCTGCATGAGGTGTGCGATTTGCTGGGGACGAAAAAGGTACGCACGTTGCCGTACCACCTGCAAAAGTATGGCATGGTCGAACGCCTACACCGGACTGTGACCTCCATGTTGAGTCACTTGGTCAGCGTGTCACAGGTCGATTGGGATTTGCATATTCCTGCGGTTCTTGCCACTTATAGGATGGCCCCTCATGCGTCCACCGGCTACTCTCCCTTCTTTTTTATGTATGGGAGGGAGTATGATCCTCCCATCGATATGCAGTTACAAGCCGCGCCCACTCCGAAGGTGTCCAAAATACCCGATTCAATTCGGTTCACGCCTGCCAAACTTTCCAAGGCGCGGGAAGCTGCCAATGTTAACTCTCGGGCCAAATAGTTGCCAAACGAGAGGCTCAAAGGCGCCCGTGTTTCCCTGTGCGATTGGTCACTGGGGGACAGGGCCTGGTTGCATTGTCCGCAGGTGCCAGTGGGCACATCTCAAAAATTGCTGCAACCATGGAGGGGGCCGGTTGAGGTGGTACGAGTCGTGCGGCCGCAGTGTGTCCAGATTCGGTTCAGTAAGCGGAGCTGGTTTGTATACCCCTCTTGTCTGAAGCCGTTTATCGAGCCGTGTGGGTTTGTTTCATCTCTATATCGCAGGGGCTGAATGTCGGGCATTGTTACACGTTGTGGGTGGGAGATGTTGATTGCAGGTATCTTGTACGACGTGATTGTTGGGTTGTTCATTTTTTTTCTTTTCTCTCTCCGTGTATATATTGTACAGTTGGGTTTGGGTAATTGATTGCGTTGTTCTGTTATTGTTGGAGCACACTTGTTTGTTCTGTATAATTGTACGTCGGTTGCTTACTTGCAGGGGAGTTGGCAGCCGAGACGGCTGGAAGCTACGGCGGGAAGGGTGATGTAGTGACTGTGATTGTCACTGTGTGGTGCCGGGCTTACGATGCCACGGCAAAGTATGTGTTGGCATTATGTGTAGCCCGTTTACTGGGCGTAGTACCAGCCCTAGCGGGGCTTGGGTGAGCGCTGGTCAACACGGAGTCACCACGTACGGTGTGCGGTGCGGGCTCGCGGTGAGGGAGCGAGAGGGAGTGTCAGCCAGCCAGGGTTACGTTGGGGCATGATACTCTGGTTGACCTGGCGATACGTGACCGGATGTTATTGGAGGGGGGCCACCGGTGGACGGGGGGCATTGGGCGGTCACGTGGTATAAAAGAGCTCTCGGGGAGCCTTCGGGAAAGAGCTCGAGACATCTAGAAGATGGGCGGGGTCAGGGGCGGAGCCAGCCCCAGCCCAGGCCGATATAAAGCGGGCCCAGCGAGGGGCTCGGGGTTCTTGTTGCTGGTGATGAAGATTCACGTCGGGTAAAAGAAGCCTCTAACCACGCGGTCCGGGACCCAGCTTGTGGTCCAGGTCGGGATAGCGAACCGTGTATAGTTCTACCGTAGCAAAGCTAGAAGAGTATTCAACACCCAAGTGTAGGTTATGTTATGTTGACTTATTGAATAAATTGTGTTGCTCCCAAGACAACGTCTGCGACTCAGTTGGACTCACTACAAAAGTTAAGTCAAAATTAAACTGTACATGCTCTGATATATGCATTGTCTATTAAACTAATTGGCCTACACCAGAGACAGCCTTCTTCCGGGTCTAGTCTCACCAGTGTCAGACCAGAGAACGCGAAAAGGCGAACAGTAAAAACCACAAGTACGTGTGGTTAATGCAGACTTGATTCCTTGCAAAAGGTTTATAATTGGCGTTTGAACATCTTAACACCTAAATTTTGATTTAAAGCTTTCGTGACTGCAGTAATTCATATTCTTAGTTCTTTCGGTAAAACTAAGAATATCTTAACACCTGTTATATTGCCAGAAAGGGTAGAACCTTTCTCGGAAAAAAAATATTCCTATTTTTTCATACTTAATACTGGCAAAAAGGTCCCAATTTTGAGCTTCATAGCTCATCGGATTTCATCCGGCTAACTAAAGATTTCGATTCCGAGTGACGGCGACAGCTCGGGTGAGCCGGCTCTTAACAATGTTGGGCCCGAGCAGAACCACGGCTGAGCCGCTCCAATTATCTGTGAAAACAACGGAGCGGCTCGAGCCCAAATCCTCCACCCTCCGTGTCTCCTCCTTTCTGCGTCCTCACGGGCGAGGCGAGCCGAGCCACTCTCCACACTGCACGGTGCTCACCGCACGCAGCATGCAGCTGCAGCAGCAGCATGCAGCTGCAGCAGCAGCATGCAGCATGCAGCAGCAGTATGCAGCAGCAGCATGCAGCAGCAGCATGCAGCTGCAGCAACAGCATGCAGCATGCAGCTGCAGCAGCAGTATGCAGCAGCAGCATGCAGCTGCAGCATGCAGCTGCAGGAGCAGCATGCAGCAACAGCAGCAGCAAGGTGCAGGCAACGCTCACGGAGCAACGGCAGCACCCCCCAACACAGCAACGGCCGGCGGTCGCCACTAAGTGGCGATGATGTCACGACGGCACTTGTGCCAGGCTTGGTGCACTTTGAGGCCACGTGAAGCGTCGAAGGCCCACTGCTAGCAGGTCACGGAACAGACCCTGCTGGTTCCATGGGTTTGCCTGAGATGGCCTACAGATGCACCAACTGCAATTCCCCACAGTGCCAACTAATCTGCGTTTTATCCGCCCCGCGCTCTGCTCGTTGTTGTGAGCGTCCTCCCCAGATGCCGATCTTGACACTGCTGGTACAGTACCGGTCATCAGCTCCGCATCCTCCTCCTGTAACCAACATCGGTCCATCTCTTCTGGAGCGCGCGCCGCGCCCGTTTCGCCCCATCCACACACAAACACGCGGCTCCACACACAACAACAACCGCCATTCGCCACGAAGTGGCAGTGACATCACCACGGCGCTTGTGCCAGGCTATGTGCACGCAAACTCCACACACACGCAAACTCCACGCATGCCATCAACTCTACACACGCAACTCCACACGCAAACAACTCCCCTCAGGATCGTCACTCACAGGGACGAGGCTGTCACCTGCACCTCGCAGTCGCTGCTCGAAGCGAAATAAAATCTCGGGGTGACGTCACGAGTAAGGAGGCTTACATGACGTCACGCGAGGACGGCGCGAGCGCAGCGAACTCGCGCGGTGACGTCATAACGCAGAAGGCGCGCGGGATGACGTCAAAATGCATCAGCAAGGACCGCGGGTAACGTCGGAATACAACAGCAGGCGCGCGGACGACGTCACAAAGCAGCGGTAGGCGCGCGCGAAATTAACGGCAGTTGCTAAAATACTACAGCGGATAAACAAAATTTTTAATACAATAAAATGTGTGGCGCTGCTAACTCGCGGTCAAACCCCACGAACATGACCCGTGAGACGTCGTCCCACCTGTGGACGCCACGGTGGCTAGGAGATGTTAACTACCTCGCCTGCTGTGCAAGGACTTCGTGTTTGTATTATTTGTTATTGTTGTAACGTTCTTACCCCGTGCCCCTACTGAACATCTGTGAAAAATAGCCTCAAAGCTCATCAGATTCCTCTAGTATAAATACATATTCTGAGTCTGTTTAATTGGAGTTTGCGTGTCTCTCTCTCCCCGAGGTCGCATGGATTTTTCTCCGTGCCCTCTGGGTTTCCCCTCCACATTTAGTATCACGCGTTTTGAGTATTTGGCTGCTGGACATTTCCACATGATCAGTCACTTCTCGTTGTGCTATGAATTGTGATATCCAGGTTGCTTCTGATAAAGAGCTATCTATATAGCAGCTCAGTGGGTCTTACCTGGTAAAATAGAAAGTAAAGTTTAGCAAAAAGCTTATGAACCATAGCTACTCGCAGAGGCTTAAACATCTAGATAACTGAGATCCGAGTCCCGGCACGGAGATGGGGGTGTCCATTGTGGGGGTTGGATCGCGCGTTGCATTCTTCACAGTTTGGTTTTCACTCACGAAATAATGACCACCACACGGGGCGCGTATAGTAAACGTGAACATTAACCCGCTCGTGGCGGTAACAACCGAGTTAAGCGCTCCTAACGAGCTGTAAACTACACGAACTTGTGTCCCTGCTAACGTTAAGACAGTCGTCGTCTTCATTGGGAGGCCCGCGGGCCGCCGGCGGCCCCTGGTGGCCTTTTTAGTGCGGCCCCCGACAACAAGAAAGTGAAAACACACCCCATCATCATCATCGTCGTCGTGCTGCTGTCAAACCCCAACAATGGTTTCAAACAAGGCCGTAATTATAATATATTGGGGGGGGATCACATCCCCCCCCAATATATTCAAATATGCTCAAAATGTCCCCCCCCTCCCAATATATTGCTATAAAAAAATAAATCCTATGCTATGTAAATAAACAGAACAATTTGCTAAACCTTGGCCACAACAACTCTTTGTTTTTTTCGGTAAAGTCACGTAGGTATAAAATAAATTAAATCACGACGTTTCGGGCGCAACACCATTGTCCGTCATCAGGTGGGACAACCACAGCAAGAAACAATTGCTGAAGTGGACAAAAGGTCTGCTGTAACAAGAGGCTATATAGGTAAGAGAGGGGGGAGAGCAAGGGGGGGAGTGATAGAGAGGGGGGGGGGTGCTGCAAAAACGTTTAGAGGACGAGCAGATAAAATGCCGGGGGGGGGGGGGGAAGTGGGCGGGGCTGGGAGTGGGGAGTTGAAGCAACAGGAGATGCGGAAATGAATGTAACACCATAAAGCAGTTAAGGTTTTACCTGGTTAATAACATCCTTCCAATTATTTCTCAATTTGTATCCATCTTCTCGGTTGAAGTTATGTCTATGTTTATATATCTGGATGGCTTCATGAACAAACCTTTGATAGTAGCCCGAAGGTTTGCAGAGTACCTTGGTCTCAGAAAAAAACAATATAATGAGAGCCCATAGCGTTATAGCAATGGTCAGCCACGGCGGAGATATTAGTTCTGCCGTGTTTCAGATCTGATGTGCTCACGGACACGGTCTGAGATATGTCGTTTCGTTTTCCCAATGTAACAGCCACCACAGGTGCATCTTAGTTTGTAGACTCCAGGATATTGCATGTCAGGAATGACATCCTTCACAGATGGGATTAGATCACAGATTTTCTGTACTGTACTGAATCGGACCTGGATCTTGTGTTTAAGATTTTGGAAATATTTTTGGTAACGCCTGCTATGTATGGTGACGTGATGGTTTTGATCGGCGTCTCAGGGGGTTGTTTCTCCATGGTTGGAGAAACAGCTTTGTGAATAATGCGGTCCGAGTACCCATTCATCTTGAGGGCCTGGTGTACATGTTCCAGTTCACTGGCTAGGTGGTGTTGGTCAGAAATGCAGTGGGCCCTATGGTGTAGTGTTTTGATGAGGGAATTCTTCTGTGCTGGATGGTGGTGGGAATCAGGTTTCAGATAGGAATCTGTGTGGGTGGCTTTCCTGTAGATAGAGTGTCCGAATGAGCCATCAGGTCTCTTCTCAAACAAAACATCCAGGAATGGTAGCTTACCATCCTTCTCCACTTCCATGGTGAATTTGATGGATGGGTGTATGGAATTAATGTGGTTGAGAAATTGGTTCAATACTGGCAGGCCATGTGGCCAAATGACGAAAGTGGCATCTACATCTCTTCCACAAGGAAGGCCGTAGGGTGGATGTCTGGATGGCATCAGTTTCAAATTTCTCCATGAAAACATTCGCTATCACTGGTGATAAGGGGGAACCCATGGTGGTACCTTCATTTTGTTTGTAGAAAGTACCATTCCAGGTGAAGTAAGTGTTGGTGTGGCAGTGCCTAACCAGAGTAGGAACATCAGGGTTCAGTCCCTGTTGGACTAAATCTTCAATGATTGCAAAGGTGTCAGGCACAGGAACCTTGGTGAACAGAGAAACCACATCAAAGCTGACGAGAAAATCATCTGGGGACAGTGAAATGCCCTTGATGAGAGAGACCAAGTGAGCTGAGTTATGTACTGCTGAGGTAGTCTTGCCAGTGAATGGGAGCAAGGTATCAGACAGAAAAAGGACCAGTTTGTAGGTAGGCGAGTTGATAGTGGAAACGATGGGCCGAAGTGGAGTGCCTTGTTTATGGATCTTAGGAAGACCAAATAATCTGGGTGGTCTAGTAGCAGAAGGTTTTAGGGCGGGCCGTTAGACTGGTTCGATTAGAGAAGTCGAACTGGTAAGGATATTGTTGGTTTTTGTAGTCAGGCTGTTAGTAGGATCTTTGTTGATTTTGGTGTAACTGCCATCATTAAGGTTCTTGATTTTGTTGTTGTACGTGGTTTTATCCATGATGACAGTAGCATTGCCCTTGTCGGCCGAGTTGCGACATATCTCGGACCGTGTTCGCGAGCACAAGTCAGATCTGAAACACAGCAGAACTAATACCTCCACCGTGGCTGACCATTGATATAATGCTGTGGGCTCTCATGATATTGTTTTTTCCGAGACCAAGGTACTCTGCAAACCTTCGGGCTACTATCAAAGCTTTGTTCATGAAGCCATCCAGATATATAAACAGACATAACTTCAACTGAGAAGATGGATCCAAATTGAGCAATCATTGGATGTTATTAACCAGGTAAACTTAACTGCTATGTGGTGTTGCCTTCATTTCCGCATCTCCTGTTGCTTCAGCTCCCCACTCCCAGCCCCGCCCACTTCCCTCCAACCCCCCCGGCATTTTATCTGCTCGTCCTCTAAACGTTTTCGCAGCACCCCCCCCCTACCCCCTCTCTATCTCTCCCCCACTTGCTCCTCCCCCCTCTCTTAGTTATATAACCTCTTGTTACAGCAGACCTTTTTCCCACTTCAGCAATTGTTTCCTGCTGTAGTTGTCCCACCTGATGACGGACGCTTGTGTTGCGCCCGAAACGTCATGATTTAATTTATTTTATAACTACGTGACTTTACCGAAAGAACCAGAGTATGGATCCCTGCAGTCACGAAAACTTCAAATCATTCTTGGCCGCAATATCTGGACTTGTCTTCATATAAACCAATGCATAGATTTATGTTTATATGATTGTGGTTATGGTAATACTTTATTAATCCCTAATCTCTGCCATTACATACAATGAAACAAGAAATGGTAAAAACAGAGCAATGTAATATTATTGCTCTTTTTCCACGATTAGACATTGTAAAAAAACAAAAAAAGTCCATCCCATGTGTTAGTATTTTTTTAATATTTTAGGTAGGAAATGAGCTTTCAAATTTAGATATTTTTTCTCGGTTGGGACCCCCAGACACCCTGGAAGATTTGGTCCCCCCCCCCAATGTTGACTCCATGGCTACGGCCTTGGTTTCAAATGTGTGGCGACCCTCACTCACACTGGTGATGTCTTATCAGTGAAAGTGTCTCTCCCCCCCCCCCCACTAAAAATGAGTGAAGGCCAGGGCCGCCCCTAGCGGGGGTGCGGGGCCCAGGAAAACTCACACCGCGTGTGGGCCAAAGCCCGGGGCCCGGGGCAGTCGCCACGATTCGCCGTGTAGCCCAGGGGACGACTCTGCGTAAGGAAGTAGCGCTCATAACAACTTCTCGTGCAGATATTCAAGCTCCCTTTATGGAGACGGAAACGTGTCTCTTGATGCCCCGAGCAGCATAAACCTTAATACCCTGAGGACACGGCACGGGGAGGGGGTCACGTGAAAACGGGCAGTTCCTTCCGATCCGCAACACCCCCTAAGGGTTTCGTGACTGCAGGGATTCATATTATTGGTTCTTTCTTACGTGACTTTACCGAAAGAACCAAGAATATGACCCCCTAAAGGGTTAATGTTGGAGGGGGGGGGGGGGCGAAGGGCAGGGGGGACCCCTGTCCAACCCGAAGCGGCTAATTTGCCAAACAATTTCATTGCTTTTTAAGTTTCTGAAGTGCTTGGCACAGGATGGAGATCCATGGTGATCTGGCTGCCGCCTAATGCCAAACGTCGTACCCTTGTTGTGCACTTACTCTCCAACACGCCGGTGTGATGTTCTGTTTACGAGACAACTTTACTAATTGTCCGTGTCGGGTGGTGGCGGGTTTAACGACACATTTATATTTACGAGATCTAACCGCGAAAAAAACTTCTGTATTATCCATGGTCACCAGTCGAAAGGGTGCCCTGTTGACCACCAAATATATGCCAGCCAGTGGCTCGGGGCTCGAATGGAGATGCGTGCCGGCAGGCCCACTTCTTGAGGGAGGTCAGAGTCGACATTGAATGACATTTAAACTTCTGTGCAGCGCATAATATTGTTCGCAAAATCCCTGGACCACACGGATGTTCAACACCATACCCTTAATTCATGAGACATTGCAAAGGCTTGCATTTCATTAGATGATTTTTTTTATTTGATGATATGCACTAAAGATACAACAAAATGTGTTAGGCTGATAAATATGCCCTATACAGGTACATAAACCTGATTCAATGTTGCACAAAAAATGGAATGTTAAACACCCACGGCTGTACTGTGCAGTTCTTTTCCCTTTCGTTATGTTGGAAACTATGTTAAGCTGATTTTCTTTTTTAAAATAACGTTGAGTTTCTGCAAATGCAAGGAACAAATTCGTAACACAGTACTAAACAATAGCTGTGCAGATCTCTCTCACTATATATACTCTGTCATGTACATAACAAAATCAATATCCCAGATCATAAATCATACCGATAGGAAATAATGGATGTTAAACACAATTACGAAAATAAAGATGTATTTACACATGGCGAGTGATCAGTTGTATACATCAGTGAAACATGGCGTCCCATGCTCTACCCCAAACTCCAAACATTCCCCCTGCGCAGCCGCGCATAGTGCCAGTTCCCTCGTACCTCATGTGTCACTCACGCCTGTCAAGTCGCCTCCAAGTCAGCGGAACACAAACACGTCCAATTGCAGCCTTTGTAATGACCACCGGCAACATCTGCAATGCAGTCCTGATGCTATACCCTTTCACATGCGTATGTACATCGAGTACGAACTCTGCCAATGAAAAATGTCGTGGTTTGCGTATGTACACACCTGCATGCATTAGCAGACCACAAAGGGTGCAAAGGGTCAAAGTCGTGGTTGTGTCCAGCTCAGTTGGGTTTGAGTTAACAGCTCTTCATTGCCATGACCAGACAGCCACCACGAGTCCAGACAGTCACCACGAGTCCAGACAGTCACCACAAGTCCAGACAGTCACCACTGGTCACACTCGACACATAACACATGCGCCCATATCACAATCGCTTCTCTCAGAGAATAACATTATTTATCAACTCCTAAGAGTTATAAAATAATTGTCAGGGTTTTTATTTGTTCCCCCCCCCACCCATCAAAAGAACCGATGTCTATAGCAGAAATATATCACTCTGGGGAATCATATCCAGGAGCGGAACAGAACATTGGGGGAGAAAACTATTATATTTTCAATGTAACCAAAAATGTAAGCAAAGCTCATGCGCTTCTCTACAATTGTGGCTTGCAGGACAACGACCAATCCAGAGCACAACGCATCGATCACGTTCCTTCAGCTTCAACATTCTCGATTAATAAAGGCCATTATGTATTGCAGTGCTGGCTTCAGAGTTCAAAGTCGATTAGTGGCACAAAACGACTGCAACCGTCTATAAGCCTGGCAGGCGGGATGACCAGTGCGAGACCGTCGCAACCCATGTACTCCCCGTGGCATGGAACTGTTAAGAGAAACGTACACGACTTGACGACATAATAAACACTATGGTTGACCATGAATGTTATCGGAGACCAGAAAAAAGTTATTTCAAGTGTGACTTAAGTAGGAGACAGCACGAGTGACAATTCGGGGGGGGGGGCACATTTTTAGTCAATTTCAATTGCGCGAGGTAAGGTCATTCAGAAGCGATGGGAACCTTTGGGCTCTCCGAGCCGCGGGTGTTCAGTGTTAATCCATAGACATCACCGGGAATGTAAAGGTAGTCCGAAAGCAGAAAAAGGCGGAAGCTCCGATACACCGCGGACGTGTTCAAACGACCACCAACGAGCGCATTCATTAACGCAGAAAGGAGGAGCACCCGTACATCACTCCCGGCGAGGTTCCGTGCCGTGCACGGCCCCACGCTCCCAATTTACGGCGCCCCCACAAGCAGGACAAAAACCCCAACCACACAACCATGTGCTGTATATATCAAAAGCAGTCACTCTTGACAGCCAATCGATAGAAGCCCGCGCCCTGCTGGTGCCGGTCCCCTGGGGACGACTCGCGAGCTGGGTGATGAGGCGCAGCCGCTATCCGGCTCTGTTGAAGGCAATCAAAGCGCCGCAGCAGTGCCTAATAAAAGCGCGAGTCGTGCTTCTCGGCACAAACACCCCTGTTAGCTAACGTCTCGCTGTTGAGGGCACGACGCTTCAGCCTCTCCCCATGTGTGCATCTAGGGGACACCTTGCATGCAGGATGTCCGAGGGTGAACAACCAGCGACTTCCACTAGTTTCAATTCAGTGATATAGCTGCATTATCTTTTAATGCAGAATCATAAAAGTAGCGTCTCCAAAAACTAGATCTGGGTTTCGTCTTAAACTCTACAATGCAGTATACACACACAAATATATAGCAATCATTCAAATGTGTGCAGCTCATTACAGTATTCATGATGTTGATGATTAACACCGAGGAACATCAGTTGACACTCGTCAGCTTTTGTGGGAGAAGACCAATTTTTCTGCTGCTGCGTTTTTCATTCTGGACGTGTTTTTTTCATAATCCCTTTGTGTTTGATTTGCAGGCTCTGTTTGCCAGATGGGTTAACACAATAGATGGTTGCTTTCGGCTACACTGAGAGCTTTCACGTTCAATTCCATACAACATCAAAGCAGTTATTATTTCGTAAGAAGTTCTCAACTTCGTTGGACCATGCCCTGCAGTATTGGCAGCCCACCGCACGAATGTGGGCACGGTATTCACCACCTCGTTATTCACGAACTTGCTATCCGCCGTTTTGGCTATCCGCGAATCACATCTGGAACTCTGCACGACTGCATCAAGAGAGATAAAGTGATGAGAGAATGTGATGCGAGAAAGTGATGAGAATGTTCATGTGCTTAATATGCTTATTTATGTATTTAAGGTCATTCATTTAAAATGTAGGTTTTCGTAGGCCAATATCGTTATCCGCGAAATGTGCTATTCACGAGCATCCCCGGAATGTACCCCTCGCGAATAACGAGAGAATACTGTATCTGTTATTTTTCAATACGGTGTAACTCTTCTATCCTTTACACAGCGGCGCTCAACTCGCGGCCTGCGTGTCAAGTGGCTCGCAAAGGCCCTTGTGGAGTGGCTGCTGATCCATGGCTCAGCAGCCACAGATACGAGTTCATGTGAAAGATGAGAGAAATAAGAGACGGTGATGAGAGTTTTAGAGAAGAGATAATGATTAGTGAGGATGAAATTTAGATAAATTAGATAAATGTGAGACCTGGATACAAAACAGTCGTGGTCACACATGCAGATGTTATATGATGGCATGTAGCCGACCAGCACAACTGAGATATGGTTGAAGAACCCGGCTTATACCAGAAAGGAATTCCTGCAGATAATCAGCATACATCTAATCCGAGTTGACAAGATGTCACAGCTGAGGGATGAAAGATCATAAGTGTCTGTGATGAATTCAAAAGTACTTGGATTAATCACTTACTAAAATATCACATCATCCAAATCGAATGAGAAGACACCTACGTGTTATTTTACTCACTGACTTTCCGTAGGCTACAACATTGATTATATGCACAGCTTTTTGCTGAAACTATTTTATACGTTAGTAAGTTAGTTGGAGGTATCCATAAAAATGCTCTTTCTGTAATATGGCCTGCATGCTTTAGTGCTGCACAGAAGGCTGATTTGGCATAAGCAAGACATCAGTTGCAACCAAGTAGAACATAATATAAGAGCAGTCCAAGCCAGCGTCCAAGTTGGTTAAAAAAAAGTTAATTGAACATATAACGTGTGCAGCCAGATTCACATGATGGCAAATGCTTATAATCATTGTAGTTTTGGCAAAACCATGCCAAAGTATACAGCCAAATACTGGGACCAAACACCTTAATCTTGGGCTAAGGTTACAGGGCTGGTAATAATTATTTCTACTTCTTCCCCAATGGGATTATGATTATTCTAAAGCCTCGTAAGGTCACCATTATTTATCCAGCAAATCCTCACCGAGCCTCAAGAGTCTCATTCAGAAGGGTGCTGTCAAATTTTTACAGCAGAGGGCAATGCTGCTGTGTGTAATCCCAAATGAGTAATTTGCAGGCTATTCTTTCAACATTGGGATGTTTTGGTTAACACCGGTTACATCGATTGATTTTAGCTTATGGGAGGAAACTGGAGAACCCGGAGGAAACCCATGCTGAACAGGGGAAGAACATACAATCTCCACACAGAAAGGCGCCAGTCGGGAATCAAACCCAGGACCTTCTTGCCATGAGGTGCAAGCGTTACCTACTGCGCCACCCCCGCTGCCCCAACATGACCTGCAAAAAACGACACAACAGTGTGTGTAGGATGAACAAAACTATCAGTTTGTGCTAACGTATAAAGATATGTCACTGGGCCAGATGACGGTGTGAGCCCACGAGTGTCAGCAGCAGCAGCTCAGAGGGGGGCCACACACATCTGCCAACACGCGAGAATAAAAGCGTTAAAAAAACACACTTCCAAAGACAAGGGGCAGTATGAAAATACACAGTACTGTTAGTTATCAGCTATAATCATGACTTCTCTACAAGGCTTTACTCACAAACTACCTGTCAATTGTGTCGAAAATAATCTACGGCGTCTTGAAAAAGTATAGTATTAAAAAAATACACATCGATACCATTGGTGCATGTGTCACGGATAATCAACCAAACTCCAAATTGAAACGACAAATATCTGAGCACTCAAGGCAGTGGTGACCTTGAGCATCAGGAGAGACGGGCGAGGGATCTCCTCTGACTGGATGCTCAAGTGATGCTAAATGCATAGTTTGGGGTATTTTTCAACCAGCAGCAGCGGCAGCAGCATCTACACCTGCAGCTTCACCGAAGAGCATTGCCACGCTGGCAAAAGAGAATCCAACAGAGTCAAAGCAGCAGTCATACCTCCTCACGCACACACACACTGGGTGTAGCCATATTAAATGCAGGAGGAACAGCGATATTTAAAGCCTTATGAGTAAACAGTCTGTCATTGTCCCTTCATTTCAGTCACGTGGTGATGTAATTTGGACTGTGCTGTTTTCCCAACTTATACTGTACAGTAATGACGTGGAAAGGACGCAGTACAAAGGTCTCCCTCCCCTTTCCGTAGCCCTTTGGTTGAGTTGGCCGTGGATGAATGTAAAGTGCAATGTCTCGGATGCCACAAGCTGCCAATGGAGCGGAGTAAATAAATGTTAAAACTCTCGAGCATTCAACATTGCTTAATTCTACTTGAATGGCTGCTGTGAACACTTGCGACTTAAGCACGGGACGGGAGAAGAGGAGACGGGGGGGGGGGGGTTACAGGCCATTGGAACTGAGCTGCGCATAAAGTCCAACAGTCTCCGGTCACGTGGGCGTCACGTGTTCACATCTCTTATACAGTAATTCGATGCTTTTATCACAGACGGGAGCCAAGCAGGCGAGTCGGCACTAAGGTATGTCGTCGATTATGACCGGAACCTTTCACATGCAAGTCCTGTAAATGTTAAATAAAGTTGGTGAGATTTTACTTTCAGTGCAATTTTTCCACATTCTATGTAGAGATCCGACTTACTTTTGTTATTGCAACTATTGCTCCATATATCTGCTACTGCTTTCATCAGATGTTCCTTAAATACCTAACAGGGTTCCATCTTCATGAGCTCCAACTGGACCCAATCATAGGTCATCATAAACATTCAACAAACCAGTACTGATTCCAGCGTTGGTGCATCTACAATGTACAAGCTCCAGGTACTCTTTGACTTTTAAAATAAAACTTAGGGAACAGTTTTGTTAGAGTGCAGTGTCATAAACATCTTGTTGAATTAACGCCTCTCGCCTCTCTTGCTGTAGCTTCAGCGGCTGCTTCATCTGCTGCTGCTGCTCAACTTTCTGTTGCTCGGTAACTTTCTGCTGATCTTGCAGCTTCTGCTGCTGCTGGTATTGCCGGATCTGTTCCCTTACTTCCTCCTCCAGCTCCGGCGGGACGATGAGTTCATCGTCCGGGTCCGGCCCTGGTGCCGGCTCCGACACGAAGTAGGCGGAGCGCTTGGGGCGTGCGGGGGCCGCGTCGCTCGCCACGATCACCTCCATGAGGCCCTGGCCGCAATCGGGCGTCACCACGGAGCCGTTGCGGCGCCCGCGCCCCAGGGTGCTCGCGCCGCCATTGCAGTGCGGTGCCGAGACGCATCCTGAGCGCGCGGCCGCGGAGGAGGACGCAGCCAGGCCACCGCGGCCCAACCCGGCCACGAGGGGGACGTCGCGGCCGCTGAGAAGGTCGGAGTGACTCTGGATCCTCCTCAAGATCTTCTTGCTGCACCGCCCCATTCCCAGGGTGGCGTCGCCGCTCCTGCTGCCGCCGCTGCCGCCGTTTGCCTCGCTGTGACCTTCGGCGACCGCCAGCCAGCGCGCATTGCTCCCGTTCGTGACCTTCCTGCCGCCGCTACCTCTGTCGCACCAGGAGGGCGCCAGCTTGCTCTCGCGTGACCGATCGCACCCCTCCGATTCGCCCGCCTCGCCGTCGCGCTTCTCGGAGGCCGTTGCCGCCGCACTGCTCGACCTGGGCTCGTGGGCGCCGGGCGGCTTCTCGGAGCACGCCACGGAGGCGTCAGCGCGGAGCGAGATGACGATCCCCTCGTCGCTCGTCTCGGAGGACGTCACCGACAGGGTCTTGAGCGATCGCGACGAGGGCCCGGCTAAGGCGCACAGCGGGTGCACGTCGGCCTCCACCTCCAGCCGCTGTCCCCCGCCGCCCATCTGCAGACAGTACAGAGGGTTGGCGTCGCTACCCCCGCCGCCGTTGGCGCCGTGACCGTTGGTGGCGCCGACTCCACTGCCGCCGCCGCTGCCGCACCCCGCGTCCTCGTCGTCGCTGCTGTCCAGGCCCGGATCGGAGTACGCGCTTGAGAAGGTGGCGGCCGACATCTGCCGCTGGAAGGTGCGCGCAGAGGCGCTCGGGTGGAGGCTGCATCGACGCTCGGAGAGCTGCAGAGATGGCACCGAGCCTCCCACCTGCGAAATGCACACACAACACATACACACGTTATGCAATACACCCATAATACAGGTTTTATGGGTGTTAAACTAAGCAACACACGTTACACAAACACAAAGATCCCCCACGCAGCCTTTAACTGTTGGGGCAAGTGCTGTTAGCGAGCACCTTTGAAGGCTGGGCACAGCACAAGAAGGAGTGGGTGGCCAACACCATACCTGGCCATCTTTGTCTCCCCAATGCTGTTTACATAACGCACAAGGCACTTATTTAAAGCTGAGCAGACTTAGGGGAGGCCCAGAACCGCTTTAGATATTCGCCACCGATGTTGGCTGTGACCGGGGAATTGACTAGGGTTGCCGAGTTCGCAGAGCAGTGCGATAGCCACTGCGCCACTGCTCCCCCACAAACAAAAAACGAACACGCACAACTCCTCACACGTGTTACACACAAACGCAGGGCCTGTAATGAGATTTTCAATCTCAACCACGCACACACACACAAGAGGACACACACTTTGACCTCCATCTAATACGCCACAATTAGCTGTGAGCCCTTCATTTCATGATCTGAATTTATTTATTTTTTGGCCACGAGAAATATTTGTTTAAATTATAGATCAGTGAACTCTCGAGGTGATTCATCTTTTCTACAGTACCAGTGGTAAATCTGCGTTCGCGTAATTCAATGTGCCGGCACAAATCTCTAATTAATAAAATAATTTCATTCCTGCTGTGTTCTGCATCAAATATCCAAGTCCTTAAAACATAAATAATCAGTGTGTTTCGATCGTCTCAACTTGTAAAACTCCCAAAAACCGTAATTGGATCTTATTTGTAAAAGAGAAGCAGTTATGCAATAATGATTTCAACTCGTAGCATGCCACACAGTATTCGCTCGCAGAGAGAGGACGACTCATGAGGAACCACAGACGAGCAGGAGAGCAGCCATGCGATGAGCCAGCACCAATAATTTCCCAAAGTCTGTAGTCCTCTATATAGTAAGATGTTATCAGCAATTCAGTGAGTCTTTACACGTGGGAGGAAACTGGAGCACCCTGAGAAAATCCACACGTGCGACGGGGAAACATTCTATCCCATAGAGACGGAACCGGTGGAGTTAACATTTTTGCTTTATTGCCTTCTTCTGGCAGAGCCAGGGTATGGATCATCCACGCCCATGGAGAGGGAGCTTCACAACGTATGTGCGATCAACCAACCCTCGCCTCCCACATGTAAACACTCACGAATTGGCCAATAACTATTTAACATCGAGGATCACAGAGCTTGGGCGATTGTTGGCACCGGCTCAAAAAGTCATTCTCTCTCTTCGACAGCGAGTGAATACTGTGTGGCGGTGCGTTACCAGTTGAGATATTATAATGTTGTGGGCTAGTTAAGGCCAGGCCGCCATGGAGAACTACGACATCATTCACTGCCCTCCCTAGCAGTAGGACATTACACACTGTATACTGATAATCCCCCCACACGCACGGCAGAGCTCACGCGAACCAAATCTCACCGGCGATCACGCTCCATGTGGGGAGAGGCCGGCCACTCGCTATAAGTTTTGCAAGGGGGTTTATTCAAAATATCTTATCTAAAACATTGGTGGTTACTAAGACTACTCTGTAATAGAATAGAAATGAAATGAGCAAAATTTTCAGGCAGTGGCACCTTCTTTAGAGCAGTCAAGGCAGCTGCAGATCGCACTGTTACACTCAAACATGCTGAGAACAATTCACATATTTATATTTTAATGGACGTTTGAACAGCTTCCTATTAGTATTTAAGTTAATGAAAATATATTTTAATCGTTGAGCTATAATTTGTGGCCAGGTCGCTCCAGAAAAATAAGCTCACTGGGCTTTACCTGGTAAGATAAAAAAAATAGTTTGGTTTTATTTATATATTTTTTTAAAGCGACTTGTTTACCTTTCCTATACTTTGCACTCCTTTTGTGCTTTTGTATTGTTTGTTGTTGTAATGTTCTGACATGCCCCGACTGGATATATGTTAAAGAGCTTTACAGTTAATTGGATTCCTCCAGTATAAATACATGTTTTTTAACCTCATAAAATGTCCCCCAATATTCTCAGGATCAGTGTAAACCGAAATCTCCCACCTGCGAGTCCGTCCACCTAGCTACACCCCCCCAGCTCCCCATGCGGACGAAATGCCATCCCCCTGCCAAAGCGCTAGCCTGTTATTTTTCTACTATAAACCAGTGTTAATCATCATTTCCTTCTACTGTTCCCAAGGGTTCAATCGAATTGAATGAGCTTCTAAAGGTATTAATCCCCTTTCCTGTCCATTCCATTCCTATTTAACTAGTTAACTAAACTTGAGAATGCAGATTCATAATTAGTTTATTTTGAGATAGATCGTGTCAGTCAAGTAGAGCCACAAGCCTCCACCACCCGACAAAGCCAAGTAAATCAATTTGTCACGTGGATAAGTATGCCAAGTGATTCTGTTATTTTCAATAATGTAATGTTTACAGGCAAGTAATATTTGAACAATGTTGTAATACAAACCACAGGCAGTTTATTCACATTTATGTAAATGTATTAATGGTTTTAAAGTTCTGATTTTTTTACATGTAAACGTGTATGTATTTCAAATAAATGTCAGATAAATCATTTAAAATTTTGTATGTTTGAAAAGGTATGAACAATTTTGGATTGTTTTCAGATTTTCGGATCGCGTACATTTTGTACCAACGTCTTCACGTGAAGAATAGTTGCAGGGCACGTTGCCATATGACACCACTTTCGGCAGCAAAAGCGATGTCACATTCGTGACTTCACGTGACATTTTTGTATCAATCTGAAACAGAACGTGTCTTCTGATCGTCCAAAATGTCATATCTAGGCCTGATTTTCTGACTTTCTAGACGAATCCAACACCGGTGAGTACAGAGATTGGAACTCGCAATGAGTGAGAGTAGAGGAACTCCAGCGGACGTTCTGCATTAGCAGCACTCTAAAATAAACTATTTAAATTTTATCAGGTAAGGCACATTGAGCTATATTGCTCTTTTTTCAGAAGCAACCCGGCCACGAATTACAGCTCAATGAAGTGACATCATATGGAATTTAATTTCGAACTGTGAAGGGAAAAAATCGGGGACCTGCAGAAAAATCCACATGACCACGGGGAGAACATCGCAAACTCCAAATATACAGCAGCAGCAGCAGGCGTCAGGATCGGAATCGAGCCCATGACCTCCTGCATATCAGGCGAGGGAATTAACATCTCGCCACTGTGGCATGGCAAAGCTCGGAGGGAGCACTCACCTCCACAAGGCCCAGAGACGGCGGCTGCTCGTCAGAAGCGGTGGAGCCAACCTCGCTGCTGACCTCTGACCCCGCGACTTCGCTGCTCACCTCGCTGCTCAGTTCCGAGAACGCTCCACTGCTGCTCCCTCCGCTGCTTCAGGATGTTTTCCCCAAAAGAAAAAGTGAATAATAACTCATCCAAACAAGTCAATGCATCAACTCCACTCCTAAACAATCATTTGGCATGTAAGTATAGCCATGCTCCGGAAGTAAGCATTGCACACGGAGGCCTTTTACTCACTTTCCTCATCAGGGCTTTCACAGCATCACCATTAAATCAGACATTGTTCTGATTCATTCTTAGTTACCACTTGGCTCGCGCTTGGATCTGGCTAAAGTGAGCCAACTCAGAGCCATGCGCTTAACTTGAGCCGGCTGAGCATGGTCCCGGCCACGCTCAGGATATCAGCTGAGTCTGTGCCAAGCCTTTGGCTGACCTACTCATGCTTCTTTGGAAGCAACGGAGTGGCTCAAGCCCAAGAGGAAACGTGTCACAAGGAGAGCTGAGTCGAGACTCAGAATACAGCCCTAAATGTAGGTAAACGATGCCAGGTGACTCTCCTCTCCACCACAGACCAGCAGCAGCAGCGGTAGGACATCTTACCCATTGTTCACGGCCGTTTCAGCAGAGACAGCATCACAGGTGCAGCAGCCTGCATCCTCCAAGGCGACGCTGAGCCTCACCACCACCACTCCCAGGTTGTCGTGGCAGCCATAGCCCTGGGCGAGCGTAGTGAGCTTCTTGGCGGCGGCCAGCGGGTCGGCGACGTCCCGGATCGCCTCCACAGCCTCGGTGGGCGGGAGAAAGGCGGCGAGGGAGCGGCTGCACAGGAGCAGGAGCTCGTCGTCAGGCGTGAGGCGCAGGGCACGCGTGTGGGGCCGGGGCAGCACCGACGGGTAGAGGAAGGAGCAGCCCAGCAGCCGCGTCACGTTCGTCACCCCACCCACCTTGTTGTCCTGCCGCGCGAACGGATCCGAGCAGCGAAACAGGGGTGGTGTTCAATGCGCAGCACAAGCGGGCAAGCAGGTGGTCGGATGGCAATGCCCGTGTGGTCCCCCCAAGTTAACAAAATAGTCGATTATGGGGCAGTGGGTTCGTTTCCCATCTTTCTATCCCCTGATTTTCACAACCGCTTTAGTTTATGTTTACAGTGTTTACATGCGTCACAGCGCAATGTAACGGGCCCGTGCATTGATTCAATAAAAAAACAGCCTATTTTACACATTCTGTCAAATGCACGGCCTTCTGGGAGTGCATCATTTCAGCAACATCGGTTCAACACAAGCAATTCAGTGTCTCATCAGAAGTTAGGCTTGCTTGAACCAATGCTGGTGAACTACCAAATGTTTATTGGCAACGGCTCTCTCTGTTAGATATGGGTCTTAAGTTTGATCATTCATAGATCATTTACAGGAGCTTGTATAATCCCCCACGACATAAACAATACTTCAAGAGCTGTTTTAAAGAGTGGCTTGTATTAAATCTTGACTTAAAGCTTTCGTGACTGCAGGAATTCACGTTCTTTGGGTCTTTCGGTAAAGCCCGTAGATAGAAAATAATACAATTCATAAAAATGATGACAAAATCATGACATATTGTCATCAATCGCCATCAGGTGAAAAATATAGCGGGAGAGCTGCTGAGGCAGGAAATAATATGTCGGGAGCGCTGCTAAGGCAGGGAGTTATACAGATTTGAGATGGGTGTAGCCGAATGGTCAGCGGGCAGGGCTAGAGATAAAATTTGCATGTAAATGTAAGATCGGGTAAATCTTGACAAACGAAGCTGTGTAGGTGCCCATTGTATTGTGTGAGATTAGCATGTCAATGTAAGAACTGTTGAATTTGCATGTAAATGTAAGATCGGGTAAATCATAACAAACAAAACAGTGAAGGTGGCCATTGTATTGTGAGAGATTAGCATGTCAATGTAAGAAATTTGCTTGTAAATGTAAGTTCGGAGAGAGCTCAGAAAGAGAAGTCGCCACATGAAGGTGGAAAAGGATGGCAAGCCGCCATTTACTAACACAGCTAAGGGTGGCTGTGTTCGTGAATGTAACTCAGAGAGTCGAAAATAACTGCTCACATAAGGAGGTAGGAAGGGAACAACACAGCCAGTAATGACCTAAGCTGGTTAATAACATCCTTCCAATGATTGCTCAGTTTGTACCCATCTTCTCGGTTGGATGGCTTCATGAACGAATCTTTGCTGATAGCCAGTGGGTTTGCAGAGTACCTTCGTCTTGGCAAAATCAATTTCGTGTGTGCCCACAGTGTTAAAATAATGATCAGCCACGGCTGAGGTATTGGCCCTACCGTGGTTTCAAATCTGCTTTATGTTCACAAACCCGGTCCGAGACACGTCGCTAAGTTTCCCCAATGTAACTGCTGCCGCAGACACAGCTTAGTTTGTAGACACCGGGGTATTGCATGTCAGGAATCACATCCTTCACAGATAGGATAAAATCACGAATTTTAAGTACTGTGTTGAATCGTACCTGGATCTTGTGTTTGCTCATGATTTTGGAAATATTTTTGGTGCCCCCTTTTATGTATGGATTGTCAAGGGAGGTTCATGTGCTTACTAGGCCTATGACTGCATTGCAGTTCACAGTATCCATGGTTATACAAACAGCAAGGCTCCACTAACACAATGGTCATTTCAGTGCAGAGATTGTATCGCTTTGACTACAGCAATCCTGGGACGGTGGCATGACCGAGAAGTAAATCTTGCTGCTCGTTGTATGTATGTATGTATGCTGAACTACTTTAACACCATATGTAGCCAACCATGTTCATCTCCCGTTTACATCCTTGAGCCGGTGAGGGAAACTCCGCATTGCTATGGTGGGGCCGAGTCTATCCAGAGGACAGCCAATGCCAACTTCGCCACAAGGCGATACCTATTTTTTTTTTAACCCTGGACAAACGATGAGTCAAGTCAGCCTGCGACAAGTTGAACTTGCAATCCTCCCGATCGTGAGCCGCTCGCTCCACAGCTGGAGCCACCGCGTTGAGCGAGCAACGGTGATGGTTGCGGAGACAAGAAAGCAGGACGGCGTGCTTGATTTACCGTGGCACCGAAGGGACCAGACCACGACGCTCGCCGAGATCATGCTCAATTTGCGGCAAAAAAACCCGTCCCGTCAACACGAACGTCGCCGTTTGACGTCGACGGCACGGAAGCAAGAGCCGGCCGGGGGAGGAACGCCAAGGCGCGCCGCCCCCCACCCCACCCCGCACGCTTTGCCCCGGTCTGCACCTCCGTAATGATGGCGTTGATGCCACGTAGCCTTTCGCGCTCCTCCCGGCACTCGGTGAGTGTGAAGTCGGGAGTCAGGGACACGGTGCAGCCGGCGCGGCACAGCAGCACGCGGCAGCTCCCAACGTTGCCGGCCGTTAGCGTGAGACGCCCGCCGCCTCCATTGCCGGCTTCAGGGAGATCCCTGCGGAGGTGGCACAGCACCGCCGAGGCGCCCAGCTTCTGCCCCGCCGTGCCAAGCTTCCTGGAGGGACACGGCCGTGGAACGCGTTCACGCGGCGAATGGTGAAAATTTAAAGAAGGCGACTGCACAACACCGGTTCTGGAAAAAGTGCAGGGAAATGGCAGTCGGGCACAGCTGGTAGACCAGACAGTACAAAGCAGCTCACGCTTGGGCTCCTGCTGCTTCTTATGAAGTGATTTAATAAACAGCTCCAATACAAGTGAAATTTCAAGGGAAAACAATGCAGACAAGTTCTACGGAAAGAGCTAATTGCTTCTGCCCCAGAAAAGGGAAGCAATGTGACTTATTTATACTCTACCCTCTCCATTATATTTTCATCAGCAGCCTTGGCTTTGTCAATGACCGTCCCCCAAAGAGGTAATAGCAAATTGTACGGCTGCTCAATTGAGAAGCGTGTGTAAAACAGATTAAATCCATTCAACCAGCAAACAGCCCATAAAGACACTTTCTTTCACAGATAAAAATTGAGAACATTGTTTCCCAAAATAAAAACAGATGCGCCGTCTGGGGAAAAGAACCATCCGCAGTATTAAAAGAGAATGGCAAAAGGTGCAAAAAGTTGTTCTTGCCAATAATTTAATACGGTGCTAAATTGAATCATCACAATGTTGTGTTTCTACTGTGCAAAACGAGCAGGTAAGCAACACGCATGTTGCTACATCATGTTAAGATAGCAAGAGCAATTATTTCAAGACATTGTTCTGATTCAAAGTCATCAATTTACACTTCAATAGAAAAAAACACACACTAAAAGCGAGGCTATGCAGCTCAATGTCCAATGGCTTAGCAATATCAGAGGCAATATCTCAAAACCCCACAACTCTCATATGTGCGAGTGCCCAGTGAGGTGCAGAGTGTCTCTTTCTCATACAGTGAGGGAAAAAAGTATTGAATCCCCTGCTGATTTTGTACGTTTGCCCACTGACAAAGTAATGATCAGTCTTTAATTTTAATGGTAGGTTTATTTGAACAGTGACAGACAGAATAACAACAAAAAAAATCCAGAAAAACGCATGTCAAAAATGTTATAAATTGATTTGCATTTTAATGAGGGAAATAAGTATTTGACCCCTCTGCAAAACATGACTTAGTACTTGGTGGCAAAACCCTTGTTGGCAATCACAGAGGTCAGACGTTTCTTGTAGTTGGTCACCAGGTTTGCACACATCTCAGGAGAGATTTTGTCCCACTCCTCTTTGCAGATCTGCTCCAAGTCATTAAGGTTTCGAGGCTGACGTTTGGCAACTCGAACCTTCAGCTCCATCCACAGATTTTCTATGGGATTAAGGTCTGGAGACTGGCTAGGCCACTCCAGGACCTTAATGTGCTTCTTCTTGAGCCACCCCTTTGTTGCCTTGGCCGTGTGTTTTGGGTCATTGTCATGCTGGCAACCCATCCACGACCCATTTTCAATGCCCTGGCTGAGGGAAGGAGGTTCTCACCCAAGATTTGATGGTACATGGCCCCGTCCATCGTCCCTTTGATGCGGTGAAGTTGTCCTGTCCCCTTAGCAGAAAAACACCTTCCAAAGCATGTTTCCACCTCCATGTTTGACGGTGGGGATGGTGTTCTTGGGGTCATAGGCAGCATTCATCTTCCTCCAAACACGGCGAGTTGAGTTGATGCCAAAGATCTCCATTTTGAGCGGGGGGACCTTGCGGGCGCTGCAGGATTTCAGTCCTTCACGGCGTAGTGTTACTAATTGTTTCTTGGTGACTATGGTCCCAGCTGCCTTGAGATCATTGACAAGATCCTCACGTGTAGTTCTGGGCTGATTCCTCACCGTTCTCATGATCATTGCAACGCTACCAGGTGAGATCTTGCATGGAGCCCCAGGCCGAGGGAGATTGACAGGTCTTTTGTGTTTCTTCCATTTGCGAATAATCGCACCAACTGTTGTCACCTTCTCACCAAGCTGCTTGGCAATGGTCTTGTAGCCCATTCCAGCCTTGTGTAGGTCTACAATCGTGTCCCTGACATCCTTGGAGAGCTCTTTGGTCTTGGCCATGGTGGAGAGTTTGGAATCTGATTGATTGATTGCTTCTGTGGACAGGTGTCTTTTATACAGGTAACAAGCTGAGATTAGGAGCACTCCCTTCAAGAGTGTGTATAAAAGACACCTGGGAGCCAGAAATCTGATTGAGAGGGGGTCAAATACTTATTTCCCTCATTAAAATTCAAATCAATTTATAACATTTTTGACATGCGTTTTTCTGGATTTTTTTTCTGTCTCTCACTGTTCAAATAAACCTACCATTAAAATGATAGACTGATCATTTCTTTGTCAGTGGGCAAACGTACAAAATCAGCAGGGGATCAAATACTTTTTTCCCTCACTTTATGTGTGGGTGTTCAGTCAGGTGCAGTGTGTGTGCATCTACCATACTTATGAGTGCCCAGTCAGGTGCAGTGTGTGTTTCTCTCTCATACTTGTGAGTATCCAGTCAGGTGCAGTGTGTGTGTATATCTATCATACTTGTGAGTGCCCAGTCAGGTGCAGTGTGTGTGTGTCTCTCTCATACTTGTGAGTGTCCAGTCAGGTGCAGTGTGTGTGTCTCTCTCATACTTGTAAGTGTCCAGTCAGGTGCAGTGTGTGTGTCTCTCATACTTGTGAGTGCCCAGTCAGGTGCAGTGTGTGTGTGTCTCTCTCATACTTGTGAGTGTCCAGTCAGGTGCAGTGTGTGTCTCTCTCATACTTGTGAGTGTCCAGTCTGGTGCAGTGTGTGTCTCTCTCATACTTGTGAGTGTCCAGTCAGTGCAGAGTGTGCGTGACTGTCTCTCACACGATTGAGTGTCCAGTCTGGTGCAGTGTGTCTCCCTCTCATACTTGTGAGTCCCCAGGAAGGTGTAGAGCATGTGGTCCTCGCTGGACGAGGCGGGAGCTCGCTGCATCTCCTCGCTCAGCACGTCCCCCATGGTGCACTGCAGCAGCCGTGGCACCTCCACGTTGCGCTCGCCGTCGAAGACCCCGTAGAGGGCCTCTCGAGCGTCCTCGCCGAAAGCGCCCGACGCCAGTGACGACACGCACAGCCTGGGTCCCACATGCACAGGCAGCCGATGAGCGCTCAGCTCGCTCGCGAACATCACCGCTGCTCGAGCAGAGGTTGCATCTCATCGTTATTGCTTAGCGATGTTAAATTGAACAGGTGTCAAAAAGGAGGCAGTTTTGCCTCACGTTTGCAAAACAAAAACACGCAACAGATGATTGGTACAGTAACAAACACAGGTGGTGCATCTGCCAGTCATCTCAGTCGGTTAACCCGTAACACCTGGGTCTGTCCCATGACCTCCTACCAGTGAGGCTTCCAACACTTCACGTGGCCTCAAAGTGCACTTAGCCTGTCACAAGCTCCACGGTGACTTCACCGCCACTTAGTGCATGTTGATGTATACATGTGTGAATATTTACGTGTGTGTGAATGACATTCGATTGTAAAACATCGTCTACTCAGCAGATATACGCTTGGCATCGGACATCTTCGACTGTGGGAAGTGAATGATGAAGTCTGGTCAGGTGCTCTCGTAACCAGATAGCATTGTGCACAGCCGGCTTTAATTTGCTGCAGATAAATCAGGAAAATATGCCAATCCCACAAAGCCAAAGCATAACCAACACACGTGGACACATTGTGCATACACCTGTGTGCAAGCACAGTGAATGTGATGGAGATTGTTCCATAAACAAAAAAAGTCAGAAAATTAGGAAAATTAGATAATGCCAAACCCCGCAAGGTTGTGGCTGCTGATGTTACGATGAAGACCGTGAGCATCTCACTTTTTCCTTTGCCCTAAAGTCTCGGCGCAGCCGTGGCTCCAAATTGGTGACTCTGCCGCATCTCCGGGCGGCAAGGTCGGACGGGGATCAATCTTCAGGCAGGTGATGTGGCTGAGGGGAAAACAATGCAACATCGCCATGAGCAACAGAAGGATTCATCCACGGCACCGCCTTGCCCGTCCATTGAGACGCGGCCACGCAAGCGATCCACAAAGCGTCCGGAGCACACGTACAATACCTACAGCGTCCAACGCATTAATCGACTTTTAATTACCAGGCAAAAATCAATGCTCAATTGAATTAGCAGAAGATACACGGAAGCTTTTATTTAGCCTTGTCAAGCAGTTTGAGTGTTAAGTGATCATACAAAACAGGCAAAGGCAACATTAACCAAACGCAGTTCTGAATCATGGGCTACAACCTGGGATTTTTAAAATTGAAATTATGTTCATATCAAAATGGCAACTTACATTTTCAATGTACGATTCAGGAATAAAACTCACCCTGTGAGTAGCTAATATTTTTTCACATCAAGGTCTAACAGAGCAACCTTACCTTGGATCCGCGATGATCTTATTAAATTTCTCCAGACAATGTTAAAAACTTGGAATTAATTATAACAGTTGAGCAACCTCAGTGCGATGTAATGGGCATTAGATACCCATTAGGCTAAGCAGCACAAGGTGTTGTCCGTGACATTCAATATATGTTCACGAGATTACAGCACAAAATGAGCTCTTCTTCCTCATCTGCTAACTCGTAAAGCCCGTCTCAAACCTGTACCGCAAGATAGGGATTTTCTGCAGTGTCAGTGGCTAATGTGGCTACCAGCAAGAGGTCACATGTTGTCACGGAGAAATGCGCAAGACAAGAGTCAATTTTAAGTCAACGAGCAATGATGGACTTACAATTGCAGTATGCTGTCCGGATGTGTGTTAATCTACCTGGTGTAACCATTAAAGTGTTTTTCAAGCGGGCATTATTGTTAACACTCATGCCTTACAGCAAAGAGGACCTGATTTCGATTCCTAACTCGGGCGCCTTTCTGGTGTGGTGTAGAGTTTGTAAGTTCCCCCCTGTTCTGAGTGGGTTTCCTCCAGGTTCTCCGATTTCCTCCCATAACTACAATCACACTACGTAACCGGTATGTGTACACATGTTGAACTTATTTCGCACTGTACATTGCCAACTGTTCTAATCGGAGGTGCGGAGAAAAGACAACCAAACTAAATACAAAAAGTAGTTCTAAAAAGTTAGTTTTCAACCTAGATTTTTTCAATCTATCGGCCAAACATCCCAATGCTCAAAGATTACATGCAAATTACTCAATCGGGATCACACACACAGCAGCAGCAGCGTCGCTACCTCCTGCAAAAATCCTGGCAGGAACCTCCTAAAAGCAAAAAAAAAGAGAGCGATGAGACTCAGCGAGGCTCTCGTGGGTAAACGAACGTGACCATCGTTGGGGGCGCCGTGGGCGTCCAAGCAGCGCACCTGAGCATGTCGAGCGCGGCGAGGTCGAGCGCCAGCCGAGGGTTGCCCATGAGGTCGAGCTCCTGCAGCTTGGGGGGCAGGCTCTCGGGCAGCGGCACCTCTGTCAGCTCGTTGCAGCTGAGATCCACGAGCTGCGCTCGCACAAAGACCCCCCCCCCCCCCCGTATAGCCTTAATAACTGACCGTTGGGAGGCAAGTGCTGTTAGCGAGTACCTATGAAGGCCGGCACGGCACATAAGGGGGCGCGCGGTGGCAAGCACCATGCCCGACCACCTATGTCTCCCCAGTGGCGATGCTTACACACTGCACCAGATACTCATTTGAGGCTGAGTCGACCTAGGGAAGGCCCAGCACCGATTCAGATAATCGTCACTGGCGTTAGCCGTAATTGAGAAATTAACTCGGGTTGCTGGGTTTGTAGCACTTTCCCACGAGCTGCGCTCACGCGGACAACATGTGAACATGCGCGGCGGCACATCACGCGCTCCGCCTTAAACTCTACCGACGAGACGCTATGTAAATCGTTTGGGAGCGGTATCCTTTAGTCTGGCGAGCGAGAGGAATGCCTGAGAGCAGGCGGTGGCAGACTGCCAGGGTGGATTGTGGAGGTCGTGTGTCGACTCCGCACATGCTGTTGTCATCAACAGGATGCGGTTCGCTGCTCATCTGAGCGTTGAGGCATTTCTCTGAGAATTGAGGCATAGCTCAGTAGGCCTTACCTGGTAAAATAAAAATTGTTTCATCGTTTTTATATTTTCCTGTTTACAACCCGAAGCCAGTGCTCGAAATTCCACATTCCTGTGGCCGAGAGGTGAGGGAGGGGGCAAATGTCTGTAGGACAACCACTGGTGACAAGGTGGTACTTCATTTTATCCGCCCTAGCAGAGCGGGCACCTTTATTTCGGGCAGCTGAAAGACCTCCGGGAAGACATTGATAGCGTTGGAGTGAGCACAGAGCGTGTGCAGCCTCTTGCAGCCCAGGATGGTGGTGGGCACTGTGCGCAGGCGGTTCCCGCTCAGGTTCAGCTCCTCCAGCTCCGTCAGCTTGGCCAGTTTACTGCAACAATAACCCACCACAGCGCAACGATGACGACGTACGACGGAGGCTCAACGTCACCGCGATCCTCGTCGCGTCCTTAACACAGCTGCAAGGGCCCACCAAGCCTAAAGGCCTAAAAACGTCCAGTGACCAGCATCGAACAGCGCTATCCACGTCGGAGTGGACGGTTTAAGACGTCTCTTTTAATTGACCGGAGTTATTCTAAGAGCTTGAGAAGAGAGACATTGGCAAGGAATGACAAAGTGTAGCGGTTGGAGGTGCTAATCATAATAAGGCATGGAAGCTCTCAACAATTTTAACATGGCAAGGTATCTTATCTATAAAAAGGCATTTTTTGTCTGTCTATCCGTCTGTCTGCGTACGCGCGCTTGCGAAGGATTTGGCTCGCAAACGTTGGGGTTTACGTAAAAAAAAAATTGCCGGGTACCACGCCGTAAGCCCCGTGCTTGGCATAGGCTATTCCTTTTCCACATCCGCCGCCTTTAAATTTGTCAAAATTGCGTTTTTGTGCGATTTCTCTTTATTTATTTATTTCCCCGCCCAAGCTGCCCGGGGGTTGCCCCTGGCAACGCACGCGCGTCATCGGTGGAAGGTGGGGGGGGATTTCTCATTCGTGTTCAAAATAAATACACGCAACGCTGAGGTTAATTAATCAAAATGTCATGTCCTCTGCTCTCCTCCCCCCCCACCGCAATGTGTGCACTTACTACTATAGGGTCGGTAGACACTAATATTAAAGTGCTTATAAAGTATTATTGTAGCGCGAGCGGGGGGATGGTGGGCGGGGGTAGCGGTTCAGCCCCCAGGCACGGCCGGCTGGGCAATATAGGCGAGGCCTGGGGCTCTGCACGAGACTACGCCTCACCACGGCACTGTCAGGTGAGAATTGTGCTATAGAGTCGATATATACTGCTATAGAGTCAGCATGTACTACTGTAGTGATACCAGGTACCACCACAGTCAGTATGCACTGCTGTAATGAAACCAGTTACCACTACAGTATGCACTGCTCTAACCATAGCAGGTGCCACCACAGTCAGTATCCACTGCTGTAATCATAGCAGGTACCACAGTCAGTATGCACTGCTGTAGTGATTGCAGGTACCACCAGTCGGTATGCACTACTGTAGTGAAAGCAGGAATCACCAGTCAGTATGCACTGCTGTGGTGAAAGCAGGTACCACCACAGTCGGTATGCACTGCTGTAGTGAAAGCAGGCACCACCACAGTCGGTATGCACTGCTTTGGTGATAGCAGGTACCACCACAGTTAGTATGCACTGCTGCAGTGATAGCAGGTGCCACCACAGTCAGTAGGTACTGCTGTAGTGATAGCAGGAACCATCACAGTCGGTATGCACTGCTGTAGTCATTGCAGGATACCACCACAGTCAGTATGCACTGCTGTAGTCATAGTAGGTACCACCACAGTCGAGTTGGGAGATACTGCTATCGAGTTGGGAGATACTGCTATATAGAGTTAGTAGATACTAAAACAGTCAGTACATACCACTACAGTCAGTAGATACTACTACGGTCAGTAGCTACTAGAGTCAGTAGATACTACTATACAGTTAGTAGTTACTACTATAGAGACGGTAGATACTACTGTAGTTCCAGAAGATACTACTACGGTTAATCATTACTGCTACAGTCAGTAGATACTACAAAACAGTCAGTAGCTACTACTAACTCAGTAGATACTACTGTACAGTCATTAGATACAACTACAGAGTCAATAGATACTACTCACTCTGTTGTATGTAGGGTGTGTAGGTATAAATACCTATGCGGGGGTAAAGATATTTTTGGAGGCGAGGGTTGACAATTTTTGGAAATCGTTTAGATCAATTATTTACCCCCCCATTTTCTTTAACTTTTTGGACTTGTGCAAGCCTCTTATAATTTTGTTGGTGGAGAAATGAAATAGCCAAACGGCCCACCGGGCTTTCACAATACCTTAGTATCTGTGTATGTATACGTAAGGTTTTTAAGAGAAGGTTTGAAATAAATTTTTCGCCCGGGCAACGTCGGGGTACTTCCCACTAGCCTTCTTTTCAATATTTTTCCGTACTCTTGAGGCATAACCAGCCACGTAATATCACTTGCTGCGCAGGGGCAAACCAATAATTATACTCATTGCTATTACGTCTTCATTCTATCATATTTACACTTGCCCCCTCAGTACGGGGGTTGAGCAGTGACGTTATGTCAATGACGTTTGATTGGTGCGCATCTGCTCATAGTCACAGGTAGGTTAGGTTTATTTTGTATTCGTTGATTTTCATTTATTTGCCGCTCTTGCTCGCGGCAAATGTTTGCACCAAAATGGCGGAACACCCTCGTGGTCGCTCCCAATTACTTATTATACACGCCTGCGTTTCCCCTCTCCCTTGCTTCTTTCGCTAAAGTCACGTACATAGAAGACTATTATTAACAAACTTATTTAGTCTATATAAAAGTTAGAGTGTGCGTGTGCACGTCCATGTGTGCGTGTGCACGTCCATATATGTATGTGCGTTGTGTCTGTGCGAGCCTGTGCGTGTGTGCGAGTCAATGTGTGTGTGTGCGTCAATGTGTGTGCGAGTCAATGTATGTGTGTGCGAGTCAATGTATGTGTGTGACAGTCGCTGTGCTTGTTTGTGTACGTCCGTGTGTGTGCGGTGTGTGTTTAAGTCCATGTGTGTGTGTTAGTCCATATGTGTGTGTAAGTCCATATGTGTGTGCGCAGTTCCAGTGCGTGAGTCTTTGTATGTGTGTGTGAAAGTCGATGTGTGTGTCTTTTTCGCTGGGGCAACGCCAGGTACTTCCCGCTAGTATAATAATAGAATACAAAGGCTGATTATAATCAACCTTCCTATTTCATTAATTTATTTGTAAATCAATGTGCAAATGAAAGCAAACAATGGCCTACTCGTATTAATGACATCAGCTTGTTTAACATGCATTTAACAGCAGATGAAGAGGTTGCACAATTCTGCGTGACTTTATCATGGAACAGACACATGAATCAAATCAACAACCTCCCTAATCCCGGTTTTGCAAAGACTTCCAACCCGTGCAGTGTGTGCGGGAAGAAAAGGGGGAAAAAAAAGCACTGGGAGGCTTTTAAGAGGAGTTCCAGTCATGTCACCTCAGTGCCCGGTTCCACACCACTGCAAGCACTGCCCCTCACAACTGTCGCAAAGCGAATGACTCAATCGTGTAAAGAGAACAACTACCTTAGGGACAAGGAATTATCAGGTTACCAAAGGAGCACGCAGGCAACGTCATCCCTCTGCATTGCTTCCCAAATCCTCGCGGAGCCGCGCGCCGTCATCTCTCGATGAACGACCACTGATCCAACGTGCGCCAATAACAGATGTTTCCAAATTAAAACTACTCGTTACAAACCGATGCCAGCAATCAGCATATTGAGCCAATAGCCAGCAGCTGTGTTAATTCGTGATGAATACTATTTCAATCAGTTGCAGTGGCCAGAAAAATTAAGTGGTGTTTGTGGGAGAAAAAAAAAATCAGTTCTGCAGACCACTTCCCACGGCTTTTGCAGACCAGAGATTGGGGACCACTGCTCTATTGCGTCTTAATCAAGAGTTCATATCATGCACAGTAATGAATGGCATCTCTGCAGAGTAGTGTGGTGGAACTGGTTTCTGTAGCAAAGGAGGACAATTCCCATGAGCACGGGCAGGAAGATGGGCAGTGGACAAGGGCGACGTTGGCTAAGAGAGGAGCTGTCATCGGATTGTGATGAACGATAGTTAGGCCACTGCAGGCTACCAGGTGCGAATGGAGAAAGAACGTGAGGGGCAGGCAGTGACGAGGAGACACAGAGAGAGTGAGCGGGAGGGGGGGAGCGGCTCTCAGCAAGGCAGACGAGGCAAACCGCGCTGGACATGTCCACCCCGCTAGTTCGTCGCCCACCGCCACAGACCTCCCGGCTGTGCAGCGAAGGTGCGCGTGTGAGCTCACCTTGCAGGGAATGTGGTGAGCAGGTTGTAGGTCAGGTGTAGGACACGCAAGTGCTGGTGCCCGGTCAGATGAGGGACACACTTGTCCACCAGCTGGTTGTTGGCAAGGTAGAGCTCCTGCAGCGTGCTCACGCTCTCCCCCTCGCCTAGCACTGACGGCGGCAGCGACTCCAGGCGGTTGGCCGACGCGTTCAGAGAGCGTAGGCTGCGAACCGCCAAGCGATCGAATGAAAAGGTTTCACGAGATTTTTCAACATGAAATAAACAATAAACGTTTTTTTTATATTACCAGGTAAGGCCCGCAGAGCTATGTAGCTAAGTAGCTCTTTTTCAGATGCGACCGGGCAACAAATGATAGCTCAATGAAGTGGCTTATTGCGTGGAAATTTATAGCAGCCAAATACTGATGCTGATTCTAAATGTGGAGGGAAAAACCGGAGGACCCAAAAAAAAATCCACGCGACCATGGGGAGAGAGAGACATGGAAACTCCAAATATACAGGCGTCAGGGTCAGGATCGAACCCAAGACCTCTGGTATACGAGGCGAGGTGGTTAACATCTCACCACTGCATGGCTGTAAAGTGTTCTTGTGTGCATATAACACATACTGGTGGCAGTGCATCCGACGAATAGGGTGATGTGAGATCTGACACTCGGCTTACCCCTACCACTCACCAAACCACAAAACACTCACCGGTCATCAGCCTCACCAATCATCAGGACCAGTCACCATTCACCAGACACTCGGTAACCTCACCCCCTCCTTGTTAATATTGCAAAGAAGCATTTTGTTCCTATGGCTGAACAATGCTATGGGCCTGCAGGTTGAGCATCATTATAACCTTCATCATTTTAACCTTCTGTGCTCGCAATATGAAAACTGACCATCAGCAATCACCTGGCCATCATCCGGTGTTGCATAATTTTGTAAAAAGCACATGCGATGCCAAAGCTTTTATTTTAAGCACCACGAATTGTGATTCGCATGTAGTGACTTTTTATGTATGGATCAAAAGGTCGTTCCCTAAGTCAACTTAAACATCAAAGATCTCTAAATTTTCGCATTCAGAATGAGCCCTAACTAGGCCGTGCAATGAAACAGTCCCATGGAGACGTTGCCAAGGCTATATGCATCCTCCTCCTGTGCCTCTCCACTGCGTGCTAGCCCAGCCCTTTCATTCGCTGACCCTGCCCATTCCTCAACATCCTCTGACACCAAGGTCACTTTTTGACCTCGCGTAAAGGTCATGGATAGTGCATTGCATCATCTTCAAGAGCTTAGCCTTTTCATTCACTGGCCCCCATAGGGTGAACAAATATCCCCCGTATAGCCTCAACAGACTTTTGGGGTAAGTGCTGTTAGTAAAGACCTATGAAGGACGGCACGGCACACGAGGGGGGGGTTGACAGCACCACGCAGGGCTACCTTTGTCTCCTTCACTTCACACAATCACATACCATCTCACTTCCGTTTCCTCACTGGAAACCTGGCAGCGTGGGAAAGGGAACCGTTCTGAGAAGTTCCGGTATGGCATAACATCAAAAACTTGATTTGAAAGAGCGAATGGACCTATGAGAGCCTGGTAAATTTTATAGAGAGAAATAGGCAGTTTTAGAAAACAATTTTTTTTTTTAAATGTAATGCAATGCAACACAGAGTCGGCCAACACACAGTTAACGCATAGCCTGGCTGATTACGATCTCCAAAGATTGCTAAAAATAGAAATTAAGTGTGAAATCAGACAAACAAAGACACACAGAGAGATGTGATTTAAGGCCTAGACACAGAGGCATTTGGTCTCTGTGTGTCTATGTTGTGTGTCTCTCTCTGTGTGTCTCTGTGTTGTCTCTCTCTGCTTGTGTCTGTGTCTCCGTGTCTGTGTTTTGTCTCTCTCTCAAATTTAGTTCTACCTGATGACGGTTGCTTGTGTTGCAATCAAAACGTCTTATTCTATTATTTAATTTGTTTTCTTTTTACGTGACTTTACCAAAAGAACCAAAGAATAACATCATAAATCGGGTCCATTTCCACCATTGGATCATGATAACAAATATAAACGCTCGCGACATGCACGCCCCCATGCACATGCGTGTGTGCATGCGTACGTGCGTGGGAGCGGTAGTGTCGCGGTTAGTGCGCTGCGCTATGAACCTGGCGACCCGGGTTCGATTCCCGCTCACGGCCAACACCAGTGACGATTATCTGAACCGGGCCTCCCCTAGGTCGACTCAGCCTCAAACGAGTACCTGGTGCGGTGTAAACATCGTCACAAGGGAGACAAAGGCGGCCGGGCGTGGTGTTGGCCACCCACCCCTTCGTGTGCCGTGCCGGCCTTCATAGGTGCTCGCTAACAGCACTTGCCCCTACAGTCTGTTAGGGCTAAATTGGGGATCTTTGTGCGTGAAGAGTGCACCTGGGCGCCTTGAGGAAGAGCGCCGTGGGCAGCTCCGTGAGCAGGTTGTGCTGCACGTCCAGTGTCTCCGTGTGCACTCTCTCCAGCCGCTCAGGCAGCCGACGCAGTTGGTTGTGGCCAGCAAGGAGTCTCTTCAAGCCCTCGGCACACATCAGCCTGGCGTGGGCAAAGGGCAGTTAGCAATCTGGGCGGGTGGGCGTGCGTGCGTAGTAAATTAGTTATTATACAAGATCCCTTGTATAAAGGTGTCAGTTTTTGTGCCAGCTAAAAGAGAAAAAACCTATTACTATATCTTGTTACTGGCAAAGGAGGTCTCATAATGTAAAGGCTCACCCCGAGCTCTCAATACTCTGATAGTGCGCTGTTTTTTGAGTTGTACACCTTATGATGTCATCTGGTCCAACACCAGTGGAGACTAGGCTCTAAGAAAAGCCGCCTCGGGTGTGGACCAATCAAATTCAAGGACAGTGCATATCATTATCAGAGTTGTTTCTTTTTGTTTGCACTTTTGACTGCTTGTGTTGTGGTTATTGCAAACATGATCCCTTGTATAAAGGTGTCAGTTTTTGTGCCAGCTAAAAGGGTAAAAAACAATTACTAGTTATTTAATTCCGTACGAAGACGTCTACTTGAGTATGGCAAACAAATGGCAACACAATTTGTAAATAAAGCAAATGGCATCTCATCCACCATCCTCATATTAACGAATCCTGTTATTCTGTGGGGGGTCTGCATATCTATAACCCTTCCCAATATGCGTGGATTTTCAACAATTTCCAAGATGATCGACGGTGCAAGAAACGCCAATGGGGTAAACGATGAGTTTTGTTGTTCTGCGGTGCAGAGCACCCATGACTTCGCAATGAGATGAACGTGTTACTTCTACCGCGCATTGTGAGAAAATCCCCTGGCAATAACCAGGTGAGCAATGCACAACGGCGGCTCTAGCAAGCGTGGCGGCACTTCAACTAGTCATGTTCCTCGGTTGTGTCCCTTATGACTCACATCGAGGCAATGCTGACCACACGATACTAAACTAAACAATTTTTATTTTACCAGACAAGGCCCAAGGAGCTATATAGCTCTTTTTCAGAAGTGGCGTGGCCACAAATGATAGCTCAACGAAGTGGCTTATCGTGTGGAAATGTAGAGCAGCCAAATACTCTAAAACGCATGTTTCTAAATATGGAGGAAAAACCGGAGGACCCCCGAGAAAAATCCACGCGACCAGGGGGGAAAACATGCATATTCCAAATATACAAGTGTCAGGGTCGGGATCGAACCCACGACCTCCTGCATACCAGGCGAGGTAGTTAACATCTTGCCACCATGGCAAAATGTGTGCCACTCGCCAAACTCGTAGCACCTTAGAGAACTGTTTAGAGTTTTACGTCGCTCTATACCACTTTCAAGCGATCACTGATCAAACACAATATAAAATAAAAAGTCTGCATGTATTTATACCTGATCGGTAATTCGCTGATTTCATTGTGGCTGATATTGAGAATTTCCAGGCTGGTTGCATCAGGAATCCATTCGGGAACGCTCTCCAACTTATTCCTGTAAACGGGCATCAATATATACACACACACACTGCAGGTAAACGCAACAGCAGGGAATGACTGGAGGTGCAACATTTCAGCTTAATACAAAACGTCTCCCGAACCATCGCACTGTCTGTGCAGGAGAGTGCAGATGCATACCTCGATATGTCAGCGTACGTGAGCTGTACAGGCGCAGGGTGTATGCTGACTGTGGAGAGCACTGGAAGGGAAAGGAACACACGTTCACTACTTTAATCCTGCCCACGACATTCTACTGTCATACAAGGGTTCCCTTACAGCAATGTGGCGATAACAAATTGCTTCATAGGTGGCTCCATGTGTGTGTATGCATTTTTTACTTATTTCGCGCCGTATGTAGCCAACCGTGCCAATCGGAGGTGCGGGAGAAGGACAAACTAAATAAAAAAACTGTTAAAAAGAAATGAGTTTCCAATTTAGATTTAAAAGTGCATAGCACCCAGTGGCTTCCTAATATCAGAAGGAAGAGCGTTCCAGACGGCCACAGAAGTGCATCTGAAAGCACGCAATGCAGTGATCGTCTTTGTTCGATGGCTAGCCAATAGCCGTTGTGAGGATGACCGGAGTGTGCATGGTGATTTATGCTCCTTGACGAGATAAGCAAGATATTATGGTCCATGTCTGCATGATAGACATTCCACTCAGAGCGAATGCAGGATATTCTGAAGGCAAGCGGTGGCGGAAACCGTTAGGGTTCACTGAACATCCACATTACAGTGCATTCTGGCAGGGTACCAGCCCATTTTTCACTAAGCAGCTTAAGCTGATTAGTGAAGCTGAACACACAACGATATTTTAATAGTTATTACTGTATCTACAACTGAAAAGTGTGGGCCTGTAAAGTGTGTATAGAAGAGAATCACTAAAGGCCATGTGTGGATGGGTTCAGTATTTCTCAGTGCTTGCTCCCTGCACATATCCCCCATGTCCCCCTACGTCCTCCCACGCTTCTCTGATATCCCCTCCACTGGCCACCGCGATGCTTAACTCGCACGCAAGGAGGGGCTCTACAACTGAGCCCCTTAATGTTGCCATCAGATCTTCAAATCCCAGTCCTCACACCACCCCCCACCACCCACCCCCCCCTTTTTGTCTTTGGCTCCAGTTCCAGTACAATACTTACAATAGCTTACCAAAGTAGAGCTACTCGACGCAAGTCTTATTAGTATTAAGCTTTGTTTACCCAGCCTCGATGAGTCTCAAGACTCTCGTTCACGAGGGTCCTGCCGTGTATTTTTCCGCAGTAGGTTGCGATATAGCTCTGTGTAATCCCAATTTAGCAACGTGCATGTCATTTTTCAGCATTTGGATGTTCGCTCAACGGCAATTACATTGGATCATTTTTTTCAGCTATCGGAGGAAGCAGGAAACTGGGAGGAAACCCACGCAGAAAAGGGGGAGACGAGGTGCCCCAAAGTTGGGAATCGAACCCAGGCCCGTCTGGCTGGGAGGTGCCAGCGCTACCACTGCGCCAACACCCTGTTGTCCAGACTCTTTCAGGAAAGACCCTGCTTGAGAAGTTTCTCCAATCCTATACTGAATATCTCAATTCGACGTGTAAAATTATTTTAAAATATATACGTAAATGACTGTAAAAACAGTTACATTTTAATCAGTTTTCTTTAGTGGCAGGCTAAATATGAACATAAAATGTATATCTTGCTGAAGCAGATAAGGAGAGAGGTTAAAATGATGAAAATAAAAGTTGATACATTGGTGGTAACATATAAATTCCATAACTATTGGCCACTGTGTTATTGGTGCATTAAGAAAATGGTATTTGCTCCAGACATGTCAACGTGTGAAACGATTGGTCTAATGCGATTAGTATTTTAGAAGTGACGCACCATGACCCCCCCACAAGACGTGAAATCCCTCCAACTAACTCCAACAAGCTGCCAGTGCTGGTCTATGTGTTAGGAGATTTGCTTCGATAGAGAACAGTGCACACGGACTGACGCACAGAATGTTCTCGTTCCCACATGCTCGTGTTCTAACATGCGCACTGCTCGTGACAGTATGTCTACATAACAATCATTTTTATAAAAGCATTTTCAAAATGTAATTGCCAATTTGGCCTCAAAGTTACACACTTCTGAGCATTGGCATTACATCTCCGTGGTAAGATTTGAAGTTATTTAGTTTAGGGGTTTTGTAATTTTTATGAAAGAATAAGAATTTCCCTACAATAGCCAGGTGGACACATTTCGCAGGCATATCAACTTGATATTTACATACCAGAATATTGGGTTAGGCCATGTAATAATCTGACCAATTCCAGGTGGTTGAGAAGCTCCACCACCTGACATAGCCGAACACATTGTCACGTGGTGTACGAGCGTGTAACGTGCCGAAGATGATTGTTTTGGCTCACTCCCCGGGTGAGCCGAAGAACAATTCTCACAACCAAGTTGATCAGCAAAGATAGACGCGACGTTTTGTTTGACATGTCGTCAAAAAACATTGAAAGGACACGATCCAGGAAGTCAGAATGACAATCCAGCAAGTTATAACATTCTGCCTTCCCAGATTAGGTCTAAACTGCACAGATTTGATCGGATGATTCCACGGCCTAACCCCAAAATCCATTACAAATCAAGACACCGGCGACAAAAGCGTATGTATTAAGTCAGGTGAGTGTCGACATGTCTGGAGCTCCCTTAGCCCGCTGAGGGCGGCTGTCAGAGCGTGCGGCGGGGTGGAAGGACTCACGGTTGTGCGCGGCGCCGAGCGTCTTGAGCGCGTGGCCCGCGGCCCGCAGCGCCGTCAGTTCGTTGCGGTCACAACGCAGCGTCTCCAGGCAGGCGAGCGACGTCGCGTCCAGCTCGCCCCTCAGCTCGCAGTCGCGCACATCCAGGTGGGTCACGTGACCCAGCACTGCGGGGTCCCCCGCCACCAGCCGCCTCAGGGTGTTCAGCCTGCACGGGAGGGCCAAGAGCACGGAGACGATGAGGCACCCCGCCCCACACCGCGACCACCGACACCGAACAAGCTCACAGATCCCGAGTCTCTTCGTGGCTTCATCACTTAGGTTTGCTTCAGCAAAACACCTGGCCCTCACTCCCCTTCCAAAGTGGCTTTGTGGTCCAGTTCAACAACATACAAACAACTCGATTCTCTAAACCTTTGTCACACCCTCCTGCACCATACCACATGAAGACTTCTACCACCTTTGCATCAATTGACATTGGCTCCTCCTGATGACCCCTGTGATTCTAGATGTGGGGGTATATGTCTATCCTCCACCATCAAATTCAGTACATAGATAAATTGACAGAAGCAACCTGGCCACAAAAGAGAGCTTGCCATGTGGAAATTTATAGCAGCCAAATACTCTCAATGCATGTTTCTAAATGTGGAGGGGAAAACCGGAGCAAAATCCACGCAACTATGGGGAGAACAGGCGTTAGGATCTGGATTGAACCCACGCCCTCCTGTATACCAAGCGAGAGAGTTAACATCTCGCCACCGCGGCACCCCTAATGGTTAATAGCGCCGTCGCGCCACCTCCACTGCTCCCCCGTTCCACACGTCGCTCCCTTGACGCCCTCATTAATTAATTGCTATCATTTACAGTTAATTACACCAAGCGTGGCTTCAAGCAGTTCCCATTGGAATATCAGTGATAGCGTAAACCAGGCTCCTTGTTAAATCCTTCAAGCATGCACATTTTAGTTACTAAATCACTTAGGGTAATTTTAGCGATGTAATAAGAGCAATTAAAACAAAAAAGATTCCGCCACGAAATCACACAGCACTAGTCGGTTCTGCATGCAGAATATTCGGTGTACAATTACATTTCTTTGCAAAAGTGGAGTTCAAGGGACATTCCATAGAATTAGATGCAACGTCCCTTTGATGGTGTGGGCTCAAGTTTACATTCGTTTGTGAGGCATCACTGGAGACTATAATAAGCTCATGTTTTAGCTGTTCCCTCCGTGAAACAGATAAACTTCTACTAATTTAAACACAAAATTTGTTGATTTTTTGTTGATTATGGTTACAGCTCAATCGAGTAATGGTTACGAGTACGTAAATGTGAACATTGGATTAGAGTTACAAGCATTAGCAGTATTAAGAATTTACGCATTAATGTCCCTCCTGTGACGACCCTCAGGGCGGTAATATCTCAGGTGAAGCACGCCTCTGGCTCGGCCTTGAACTCGACTCAGCTCAAGCTCCAGCAGCTCAGTTGCTTCCAGAAACGCTCGAGTGGCTCAGCCGTGGCCTAGCGCTCAAGGCTCAGCTCACGGATATCATCAGCGTGGCTGGGACCCTGCTCAGAGCCATCTGAAGTTAAGAGCATGGCTTTGAGCTGGCTCACTGGAGCCAATGCTGAGGTGAGCTGTGACTAATAAAACGGGTCTAAGACTGTTGGTTGATTCAGAAGTAAATGTAATCAGGTTCCATTTCAGCCAGGGTTTGGTGCTGATAACTTGACCTTTTGGGACTTTTGAGTCTGTGCGCAGCAAATAAGTTTAGAAGAAAAAAAAACCCAAAATCAAACGCACCTGAGATCAACGAGCTTTACATGTCTGAGGTCAGACAAGGACCCCATCTCGAAGATGTCCATGCGGTTGCCTGCCAAGCAGACCCTCTCGAGGGCCAGCAAACCCTGGCAGATGGGTGGCATTCTCTCAAAGAAGTTGAAGGAAAGGCCCAGGTAGACGAGGCTCTGGAGATTCCTCAGCTCTTCAGGGAGAGTTGAGAGCGCATTGCAATCCAGCACCAAGCTCTGCAGACTACACACACACAAAAGCGCACGGAAGTTAACAGGACTCGTATACAAGCGGCACAATGCCCTGTTGGGCGTACATGTGGCGACAAGGTGGTTCTCCAATTTCCTTCTACAGCTAAAAAAAAACACACAACATAATTGGTATTGGCCAAACATCTCAATTCTAAAACATTCACCTGCAAAATTAATTCAATTGGGATTATGCACAGGGCAACATCATCCCCTGCTGAGAAAACTTGTCAGGACCCTCTTGAGAAAAGAGTCTTGAGACTCGGTGAGACTTTTCTGGGAAAACGAGCTTAATATTCTTTGGTTCTTTTGGTAACGTCACGTGGAGTTATATTTACGTGAATTTACCGAAAGAACCAAAGAATATAAATTCCTGCAGTCACGAAAGTTAAGTCAAAAGTTAACGAGATTAATTATAATAAAAGTTCGGTGGTCTCATTTAATTAAATTGCCATATTCGTTAAACGTGGTTTCACATTTGTTTTATTGGGAACAGTGTGATTTTGCCTTGTGCCATATAGAGTGTAAAGCACTTTAATGAAAGGCGATTTAATACGTTGCGCGATTCTCGTCTCATTTTATGTTTGTGTGCAATTTGCTGATCAAGCTTGTAGTCATATTGAGCAAGGGTCTTGAGACTCGGTGAGAGTTTCCTGGATCAACAAGCGTGACTAGAAATAATAATAATTACCCATGGGGCACCACGGTGGCAAGATGTTAACTCCCTCGCCTGGTATGCAGGAGGTCGTGGGTTCCATCCCAACCCTGATGCTTGTTGTATATTTGGTGGTCACGTGGACTTTTCTCCGGGTGCTCTGGCTTTTCCCTCCACATTTTAAAACATGCGTTTAGAGTGTTTGGCTACATTAAATTTCCTTATAAAGCACTTTATTGGACGATAATTTGTGGCCGGGTTGCTTCTGAGAAAGAGCTATAGAGCTTAGTGGGGACTTACCTGATAAAATACAAAGTTAAAGTAAAAAAGAACTGCTTTGGTACCTGTTCATGTTGCCAATGGCTGCGGGGAGGTTTGGCAAACCATTGCAGGAGAGGTTGAGCTCGGTGAGCGTGGGGATGTGGCACAGCATCTCTGGGAACACTCCCAGGCTGTTGTGAGACAAGTTGAGGCTCCGCAGCTGAGAAAACCTGCGGAGGCATCGCGTTCATAAATGTTGACGCACTGCGAGCAGACAATGTTCACGTGACAAACCTTACTCACTAGCTGTGTCGGATGGCAGTGGGTTAACGACACATTAATAATTAAGTGACCTAACACAAAAAATACTTTTATTGGGAATAATATTGGTTGGGAAAGCCTACATGTCAAACTGACAATCCACTTGCATTGGTAATGTTACACGTGCTTTGATTAAGATTTCAAATTAACACGCACTTCATGACTATGTGCACCTAGTAAACATCTATATCATATATATTCACTTTCAATTAACCTAGTTTTATACCTTTTCCACTATTCAGTAATGAGGCATCAGTGTGAACATTGCCAATGTTTTGGCCTTCGCAGAAATATCAGCTAAAACGAAGGTCCATCATCAAGGCGTAATCCTTCATATGTTCATTTTCGACAATAGAACCCTCTGAATGACCACAACAGAAACGTACAATGTGTTACGACACAACACCCAATCCACAAATATGAAGCAGACATGACGGCGATAACCTTCCGCTACTCCTGATGCAGTTTGTTTGACATGACTACCTGAATGTGAGATTGTAGTCGTTGCACTGCATCTACATCAGCAGCCGTACGACAGAAGAAGTAGTAGAACCCTACTGGTAGTGGAAGCAACGTTCACGGCAACGTATCCAACCGACACTGATGAAAATGCACACCCTTAAAGTGAAGTTAGAGACTGCTCTATGCCAACATACAACAAGTGAGTTTCCAGAGCTTTCTGAAGGAAGTCAAAGCCAGGCCGCAGGTGCTCAACGTACACAAGGCCGAGAAAAACGCGCGATGAGAAAAAAGGGAGATGCTCTTAAGCAGGACCAGAGAAAATGTAGCTCTGCCTGGAAGGATAAAACATTTTTTACAGAGTTAATAAATAAACCCATCTGTTCGATTTACCAGAAATCTTCGGCAATTATTAAACGGAGCAATCTGGAAAGGCATTTTACAACAACGCACAGCGATTATACAGTACGTTTATTTTCCGGTGGGATCTTCCATTAGAAAAGAACACGGAAAGAAACTGAAAGCAACCCTGAATTGCCAGGAGCAGTTGTTGACTCAAGCAACTGAGCAAGAATCTGTAGTGATTGCTGCATATTTTCGAATTGTATGGATTTTACTGAAACATCCGAAGGCTTTGAGCGACACAGGAATTGTAAAGGAGTGCTTCATTGAATCAATTAAAATTCTGTTCGCTAACTTTACAAACAAAATACTCAAAGAGATCAGTCCCTCAGACACAACAGCTACAAAGTGACAATGCGAGGTTCTTGGTTTCCCAAGCTCCAATGAATAAGGATAAGTAAAACACGCATTTATTTCACGCATGGGGATAGCTATATGTGGCCCGACAAGATCAATTTTAGATTTAAAGCTTTCGTGACTGCTAGGATCCATACTCTTTGGTCCTATTGGGTAAAGTCACGTAGGTGAAAATAAAATAACAAAAAATCACGACGTTTCGGCCACAACACAAGCGGCCTTCATCAGGTGAAGGGACGAGACTGTCTGGAGGACAGCGCTGTCCTCCAGACAGTCTCGTCCCTTCACCTGATGAAGGCCGCTTGTGTTGTGGCCGAAACGTCGTGATTTTTTGTTATTTTATTTTCACCTACGTGACTTTACCCAATAGAACCAAAGAGTACCGACAAGATCAGATTCTGCTGTGGCGGTGGCCCTCTGCAATATTTTAGCGGAGGACACTGCCTCGCACTCTGCTTCTTCACTATAAAGTCTAAATATACAACAGAGACAGCAGCTGCATACACCACATATCATACAGAGCAGGGTGGTGGTGCATTATAACAGCACAACGCTTCCCCCAGTTATACCTCTCAGTCAAATAACCTGTTTCCTCAATGCTGTAAAATGCTGACGGCTGTTTTGCTGTAATAAGGGTGTGATACCTTCAATGTGGTGCCCATCCGGGTTGCTTGGATGAAGGGCACATTGTAATGCATTGCTTAATGCCATCAAACCCTCTCCACAACGAAGAGCACCACAAAGTATTGAAAAGGATTAAAAAATTATTTTGATGGTGGTTACCCATAACAATGAGCCATTATTTGACTTGAATTATCTGGCATTACCACCTGACCAGGCTGCAATCAATTAACAATGTCCTCATCGATTTGGCGGAATCGGAATAAATCAGGCACAGCACTCTTTGCACCTGCTTGCATTGGCAACGCTGTTCCTCATACAACTGCTCCCATGAGCAAGGCGGAGATTGGGTTTCGGCATTTTGCCCATTGAAAGGACAACTTGGTTATCCCAGTAAAAAAAACCCCATTGATTTTGTTGCCTTTTACAACCACTGCCGGTTTCAACTCGAACGTTTAAAGCGCCACCGCCTTCGCGGTTTATTTTCAGTCAGGAAATCAGCGCGAGGCTCTCGTAGCGTTTCCCATTTCGTCTCATTAGCGCCGTGACAAGAGGCCGTGCGTCACCACCATATCAGTGGAGCTCCTGTGGCGCCACGATGGCAAGATGTTAACTACCTTCCCTGGTATACAGGAGGTCGTGGGTTCGATCCTGAGCCTGACGCTTTGCTGGAGATTGCGTCTCTCTCCCCATGGTCGCGTTCATTTTTCTCCGGGTCTTCCGGTTTTTCCCTCCAAATTTAGTATTTGGCTGCTATAAATGTATACCTGATAAGCATCTTCATTTAATTATCATTTGTGGCCAGGTTGCTTATGAATAAAAGCTATATAGCTCAGTGGGCCTTACCTGCTAAAATAAAAAGTTTAGTTTGATAGATTTAATCGTTGCGTGTTTAACTAATTGTGTCACAAGAGGAATGTGCTTCATCTTTGTCCAATCTTCCCTGCTTCTCCAAACGTATAGATCCACTACTGTATGTACACAACACAGTGCACTGCTCCCTCGGGGTTTTTTGTATTCACCTTTGCTCCTTCATGTAAATAGTGCAAATTCATCAAAGGCCTATTTTTTTAAAGAAAATGTCATGCATTTATCCATGAAACCATTAACGAGCAGCAGACCTCTTACTCAGGGGTCCTGCATTGCCAGGGTTAAGCCAGCTATTGGTGTGGAAGAAAACTGAAATATCCAGAGAAAGGCTTCACATACACACCAGGATAACACTAAATGGTAGGCAACACCATCACATGAAGAAACTGGAAGAATCTCGAATTTTAAAAATGCCAAGGAAACAAATCAATCGTAGCAGATTTAATGTTCACTATGCTGCATGCAATCGGTACTAATTAAATACACAGTACGCAACAAGTAGACTTGGGGCAAAAACATCTGCCTGCAGAACGAGTGTTATTGCACAGTAAACTTTCCCCAAATTCCCATTGATCAATAAGGCAGGGCTCCTATGAAATGGTGGCCATACACCAGTGAGGTACATTTCATATTCCCACGGCAGCGGCCAGTATCTTCGTCGGATAACCGATGTTGTCCTCCCGCACAGCGGTGGTAATTTCGTTGGTGCCGGGGAGGGTGGCGAGCTGGGATTTGAACGCTAACATCATTATTCTAAGTCAAGCCCCAAACCACTTGGCTACCTGGACAGACACAAATGACTCCAGGGCTGATTCAAACTCCTTGAATATAAGGACCAGTGGAACAATCCTATGCTTAAGGCCACAAACTACCCACTTATTAACAATGGTGTATTTTATTTTTTGGGGCTTACAAGTGAAGTACACACAGATGAATGCAAAAACAGAAATTCATACATACTCAGCACATGCTGACAGAAATGTAATTTTTACAATAAGGCACAAACGCATGAAGCTCTGAAACCAGAATTTTTGGTCTTGACTTGTGTGGTAATTGAAAATTGCAAGAGTAATAAATTATGTTTACCTCACGGACAGGCCAGAGCCATGCAGCAAACGATAGCACTTCCTAAACTCGTTGACTTAATTTTGATTGAAATTCCATCGCAGCTCAACACGCCCAGAGTGGAAAATTCCATGGGCATCCTTCAGTCTCTCACAGTTACAAGCAGTCAGGATTGGCACTCGCACAATGCTACTGCACAGCACAGCATCATCCGTTTATCAACACCATGTAGCATGAGAGCATACGCACCAGGCGATTAAGACTCGCATTTCAACACCAAGGCCGCGTGTGCAGTAGAATCCAATTAGCCATACAAAACGAAAAGTAAAATCAAACCTATTATTCTCGCAGTAACCAGCAGCTAAACAGTGGATTAACAACGCTGATGATCTGTGTTTAATTAAGCCCCCACCCCCCTTTAAGCCAGAATATTTCAGAGCTGTTTACATCACACATTTCATCTCAATCATTTTCAAAGGGAAAAATCCAGTGGCAGCTGTCCCTCTGGGCACAAAGGAGGCTCAGCATCTGGCCTGCAAGCAGGCAGCTCTGCCAGCACCGGGGGGGGGGGGGGGGGGGGGGGGGGTGTTGACTTGCTATGGTTAAAACCGATTTGAGTAATAGTTGCGACGTCCCTAAAGATATGTAATCAATGATCAACGGTACCTTACAATTTTAAATATATCTAATCTGCGACGTTGCCTGAAACATCAACCAAAACAACTTTTAAATAAGAAAGCAGCACGTTTGTGCAACGTGTTCTAAAGGGCCATTGCCTGAAACGTCGCCTATTACAGTCCATTTCTCCTATAACGCCACGTGTTGTTTTCATATAGAGAACTAGGTTGCGCGAGTAGGAATAAGAGGCCGTACGGCTGCCTCGGCGTAGCATTGCACAAGGCGGCATGCTGCTGGATGCTTCTAGATGCTACCCACGCAACTCAGTCTTTATTCAACCTGCGTGCGCATATCACGTGTTATCGCGGACTGTGCTTTACCCTATATTATATATCATAACACGATTTTTCCATAACGTGGTGTTCTTTAGGAACGCAACTATAGGAGAACAGACTGTATATCTTTTTTTGTCTCGTTGACGAGCCTGTTGAGATTTTGTTGGTAACTGTGCTTACGCACCACTGCCAACGCAGCATTGCGAAAGTAATTCAATGAATGTAATTCCCCGTGTGATGAGAGTTTTAGCTGAAGGAAATATCGGGAGAGTGAACCAGTAAGTGTGTTGATGTAAAAACCTCATAAAACTATGGCTGCTGCCTATCATCTCTCGCAGGCAACCAGGAGAGACACGGGGTTTGAACAAGCATGAGAGAAAAGACACTGGTCGGCGCCTCGGTGTCTATCGCACGCACGCACGCACACATGCGTGCGCACGCACGCACATACCTGAGCGTGTCGCCGATGCCGGGCCCCAGGAGATTGTGGCGCAGGTTGAGGTGCGTTACATCCTGGCTGTGGAACAGCGGCTCAGGAAGCTCCTCCAGGTTGCAGCATGACAGGTCCACCGAACCGATCCTCTGGGACACAATCTGAAGGAAGGTTCCAAAAGCTAAAACTCGCCCGTTCGCATTCAACGCACGTTTGTTTTTAAATTGCGAATTGCATTAATTGGAATGTTGGAAGTCTTTCAATATTGGAAGCTCCGTCTATGCTGTGAGTGGCAGTGAGGACAAAACATTGAAGAGGCAATGAACCATGGGAAGGGGCCTATCTTGGCCACGGCACGGCTATGGAACAGACGAAGCCAGTGTTTTCACGCACCTCTTGTGCAGCAAATGGTTAATCCACAAGCAGTTTGGTGCACATGCTGTGAGTGTACAAATAAATGTATTAAATGAATGCACTATTACAGGCCTAGTAAACCATGCCTCTTCTTTTCAGTAATATCTTACAAATACAAATCACAACATTGACAAAAAGCCACCGTAGTGACGTGAAGACAAACGCCACCGTGGTGATGTGAAGACGGGATGAGGACGAACGTTGATGGGAGCACGTTGGGGAATGGCGCCGTTACCTTGGAGGCCTGGCGCAGCCAGCGCAGGTACTCCGCAAACGAGTTGAAGGAGACGTAGTAGGTCTGGGTCTGGGGTCCTGCAGAGCTGAAGGCTAGGCAGTGCTGGCGCTTGCGCACTTCCTCAACCTGCACAGGTGCACAAAGATAAAGACCCCCACATATAGCCTTTAACAGACTGTTGAGGGCAAGTGCTATTAGCGACAAGCACCTATGAAGGCCGGCACAGCACACAAGAGGATGGATGGCCAGCACCACGCCATGCCGCCTTCATCCCCCCCAGTGCTGATGTTTGTACACTGCGCCAGGTACTCACTTAAGGATACTTTCACCGAGAAGAGGCCCAGTTCGAATAATGGCCACTGTTATTAGTCATGAGCGGGAATTGATCCCGGGTCCCCACAAGCGCGCGCACGCTCATGCGCACGGAGACATGCTGGCCTCCGCGGGAGTTTGAGATCCCCCGCCAGCGGTGGTGCCAATTTTGGCAGGAACTCGTTTTTGCGCGAAGCGGTGCATGTTTTTGTGCTTGAAGATCTCCCGAGTCGGCACGTCGCTCGCTGTCGGGGGGGATCTCTGTACGTGAGCACGGGCTGCGGTGTTGAGGCCACAAAACTTCATGGGCAAGGTGATTTGCCTCGCAGCCACACCAAGCAAGCAGCCGGCACTTTCCCAACCGTCTTTCGAGATGGGGGAGACTTTCACTCCCATCCATGGAAACACTTTGTATGGGAGCACTTTAGTTGCATTATGTTTAATTTATTTCGCCACTATTTCCAGTAAGCACCGGAAATGATCTATTTATAGGAAAATCTTAAGGGTAGAGCAGGAAGGAAGAAATAAAAGTTGTCTCCTGTCGCTCTTCCTCAAGGCGGACACTTTCGGCCTTAAATTAAACTTTTAAAACGAGCGGCTCACACCCCCCCCCGCCCCCCGCTGCACCCCCCCTGCATCCCATTGGGCACTGCGGGAAGACTACTGAAGTTAGGTTGCGACTTCAACATTAAAAGCCCCATTTAATATCACAACCAATTCAGGACCGATTATTGCTATGAACCACGAGGAGAGGCATGGCTGGGGCAGCAGATCAAGTATTTAAAGGGGCCAGTGGCATATAGTATTTGGCTGCTATAAATTTCCATATGATAAGCCACTTGGTTGAGCATTCATTTGTGGCCAGGTCGCTTCTGAAAAAGAGCTATATAGGTCAGTGGGCCTTACCTAGTAAAATAAAAAATAGTTTAGCAATCTAGATTTGGGGTGATTACACGGGACAGCGGTGGTTCAATCTGGCAAGGCCACCCTGCTTAATACTGCAGGTGCATTAATTGTAGAATACATCCTGTCTGCTTCACAGATGACAATAAAGAATCCGTGATGTCATTCAAAAAAAGTAGGCCATTGTGTGCCGGCGTCATGGTCCAATTTTGACAACTTAATAAAATGACCTCCAACTGAGATTACACAAAGCAATTATAGCTCCCGACTGTGAATCAAAGCACCGCCTTCCTATAGGATGGCATCGCGCTCTTAAAGCATCACGAATTAAAAACTTATTACACTGATGTTGTTGTTTTACCTTGCCGCCGATGAGCGGAATAACGTGCAGCTTTCCCTGCAGGCTCTCGCGCAGCGAGGAGACGAGTAGGCAGGTCCCGCACAGCACCACCCGCCGCTCCGACCACTTGTGCAGCTGCGTACGTCCCTTCCTCACGCTGAACATGCCGGACAGTGCCACGCGCGCCTCGTGCTCCAGCACCTCCGGCTTGCCTGCAGCACACACAGCAGCAGCGGTCGCCCGTCAGTCTGCAGGTCTTAACAACTCCCCTGATCGACTTCGCTCACTCGTTCGCCGACGCCTCTTCATCACTCTACCGCTATGGGCCCGATTACCATTCCCGTGAACTTCATAACAACACCTCACGTTCTGTTGGAAAACTCAGCAACCGCTTTATCCTGTGGTAGTGATTCTCAACCTTTTTTGGCTACTGTACCCCTTGTTGTCCGACCCAACATGGTTCTGAGAAATAAATGTATGAATAATTAACATCCAGATTTTAACCAATTGTCGATTTTGTGAGGTATCCTAACTAACTAGTAACTGCAAGCGAATAAAAACAAAAGCAACGGACACTCTGCACGAGTGAGGTAATGAGTTTAGAAAGGTCTTTTATATCCCACTAGGTTACCATGTGGATCAAAATATTATGGTAGTTATTTTATATTGGCAGATGCATACAACATGATTGTTCACCAATGACTCTCATGTATGATATAATTTCACACATTTATAAATCACCTCACGTACCCCCTGGGACATTGCCATGTACTCCCAAGGGTCCCCGTACGCCCGGGTGAGAACCACTATCCTATGACCTCCGAAACGACAGGAATGAGTCAATACTCCAAACTAAATGTCCTGGGTGCTCGTTTCCTGCGCTTGGCAATATTACGAGTGGAGAGAAATACAGCAAGCAGTGGTGGAGCGTGTTGGTTCAGTTGGTTCCCGTCTCTTGACGGAAATGCCGAGATTATCTGACAACTTGCCATCTGACATGGTGGGACGGCTTGCCCAATAGGAGGCGGACCACAAATTGTAATTCCCTTAAATGTTATTCCAACTATGCTCGTGACGTCATTTCTTGAGATGGAGGCGCGGCGATTGTTAACCCTGGCAGGAGCAATGAGTGAGCACCACCCCGTGTGAGAGAATGGCCGAGCAGGACAACCACAGGCGTGAGAAAAGGAAATCACCAAGGAGAGATCAATAGATTCCAGCAGTGGTTTGGAGAGTCCGCGAGAAGGGATTTGATGAATTGTCAATGTAGATGCTTAAATCACCAGCAAATGGTACACAGGGAGGGTGAGGAGGAAGCCAGCGTTGGGGGCGATATCACAAAACGCGTGCCTCGCATGTACTCTGTGAATTATAGCAGTGCAGTCACAATGGCAGGCTCCCTTGCATATGCTTTGAATAGTCAGACACTCACCCATGACTAAGTCGACATACACCGACATGCAGGTACACATGGATTGTTACCGTAAAGTATTCTACGATAAAGAAGCAACTTGCAATGAACAATTTCGTGACATTTTCTAAATATTATACAGTGCAGAGGGGTGACGCAGCCTCAACAACACCAGCAGCCACCATTCGCCACTAAGTGGCGGTGATGTCACCACAGCCCTTGTGCCAGGCTCGGTGCACTATGAGGCCTTGTGAAGTCTCAAAGGCTTGCTGATGGGAGTTCATCCTCGCACACACACACACGTGCGCATCAATGCTTTGGACATTAAGGTTCGTAAACTCACTCGTGGATCAGCTCTTTCTTGGCCTCTCATGTGCCTCAGCTCAGGCTTGAGCCGCTCACTTGTTTTCAAAGACGCATGAGCAGCTGAGCTCAGGCTCGGCTCAGCTCAGGCTCAGCTCAGGCTCAGCTCAGGCTCAGCTCAGGCTCAGCTCAGGCTCAGCTCAGTCTCAGCTCAGGCTCAGCTCATGGAAATCTTGAGCATGGCTGGTACCACTGGGACCATCCTCAGAGCCGGCACAAGTTAAGCATGGTTTTGAGCCAGCTCAATTGTACCGCTGTGACAATATGTAAACCACCTCTCCTGGTATACAGGAGGTAGTAGGTTCGATCCCGACTCTGCAACCTGCTGTATAATTGGAGTTTGCATGTATCTCTCTCCCCATGGTCGTGTGGATTCTTCTCCAGGTCCTCCAGTTTTTCCCTCCACATTTAAAATCAACATCACGCGTTTAAGAGTATTTGGCTGCTATAAATGTCCATACAGTAAGCCACTAACATTGGGCTATCATTTGTGGCCAGGTCACTTTTGATAAAGAGCTTTCCAGCTCAGTGTGGCTTACCTGGTAAAATACATAAAATTGTTTCGTTTTTAGTTTAGTTTCACTTGAGCCAGAGCCAAGCCTGGGCTGACTAAGAAAAGAGGTTGAAAAAGTGAATCACAGACGGCATCTACTGACGGCCCCAGCAAATAGAATTAAAAACACGCTTAACTTTTACGCGTGCACTAATACACACCGCTGAATACACTGGAAGTAACTTCTTTTGGAATTAATACTTTTTTGAAAGCACTTTCCTACCAGCGCACAATATCCGGTCGAACAAACGGCAGAGGCTCTTGCAGGGTAGCGAGTGGGCACCGTGGCGCGGCGGGGGCAGTTGCCAGGGCGAGAGCCCCACGGCGTGCAGCGATTTCCGCCAGACCCACGGTGGCACTGGCAGCGCCATCCACCGCAGGGACAAAAGGCACAATGGGCGCCCATTCACAGCGGGCGAGCAGCCCGTACAATAGCCAATTAATCTTCGTTAAGCGTGTTGTGACAAGTCCCACTGTCAAGGGTAAAAGAGTAATCTAAACATTGAGTGTTCTCACACGGATGTAACGAGCAGAATCTTTATGTATACTGGAGGAGGAACCAGATGAGCTATAAAGCTCTTTTTCACAGATGTCCAGTAGGGGACTCAGGGACAGAAAGTTACAAAAACAAACAATACGAAAACATGATCGGAGTGCAAAGAATAGGAAAGACAAGCATCATGCTATGCCGAATTCATCACAAACATGAGGGACATTCCAAGGAATTACAAACAGAATTACTACAATACAGGTTTTTTTGGTTAGATCGCATAAATATAAATGTCGTTAAACCCACCACCATCCGACACAGCCATTTAGGAAGGTTTGTCACGTAAACACTTTGCTACTTTTGATTTAAAGCTTTCGTGACTGCAGGGATTCATATTCTTGTTTTATATTTTTATTATTTTGTTTTCCTTCTACGTTGCTACTTATTTAAACCATCTGAAAAATTTGGAATTCACAATTGTGAATTTAATTCTTCATAAACTATACGTTTTAAAAAATGTTCCAAGTAATTTATGTTATTGTATTTGTTTTACCCAAGAAAGCTTCATTTGAGTCTAAAAACATTTTTTTCGGGATGGTCCTCGGAAGTTTTTTGCAGTAGGGGGGACAATGCCGCCGCAGAAAATCCCAAATGAGTTAAAGCGCAGCACTGGGGATGTTTGGAAAATCCGAGTTACATTGCGTGGTTTATATTTTGCTCTTAATACCTTGGCTATTGTTTGATAAAAAAAACGTGAACCGAGAGTGCAGTTTACAGTGCGACCCAAAGGCTGGAGGAAGATGCAGTGCCTTTAAATTGTCGATGAATAGGCGGAGTTTGTTCATTGTGAGTGATGTAATTATTTAAAGTTACGTACCCTTTTTTGAGTTAAATATGTACAGGAATAACTGTATATGCCATGAAAACATTCTTACCATGTTTAAGGTCACAGCATTCTGAAACTTATCTTTTAAAATCGGACCAATAATGTCCAACCCCTCAGTGCAATTAACAGGAAAGCACAAAAACGCGACGTTTTGCTGCATTTATGTCACTTTTATGTACAGTCCAGGTAATCGCGAATGGCAACCGTGGATACCCTCCAAGATTATAATACGGTGCAATGCTTCTCGCTTAAACAAGTGTAAATTTTATAAACAAGGATTAGACATTTTCAAGTTTCAGTTTTATTTCAGTTTATTTATTTGGTTTCAGTTTATTTATTTGGTATAGCCCTGTGAGCCATTCGGCTCTTGAATCGGGTGCAACCACAACAAACAAAAAACAAAAACACGAACAAGAAAACATCTTAAAGTGACTATGTGACTGTGCAAACAGAAAATCCATGAAAAAACAGCAAAAATATTCCTGAAAAAAAGCACCGTACCCCAACGCTGTGTGCAAAAAATCCCAGTGGGATGCAAGTCAAACAACAACAACCACAAGAAAACTTAGATTAAGGCCATCAGTCTAACTCCGTACTACAACAAAACAAACATGTCCAAACCAAAAAATGTTTTCGAAATCACCAAAAAATAAAGTCATAATTGTAATGAAACAGTGATCATAGGGACTGTGACCGAATTTGTAACAACTACATAAATAACATGTAACACCAAACCCTAGAGCCATAGCTGGCTGCATGAGTTTCTCCACAACAACAGAAGCATCAGTCGGAGTATCAAATTTTTCAATGCACCTTTAAGATCAGCACGCTAAACCAAAATACAGATAATACTTTGCAGCGTCAACCGGAGCGAAACATTTTATTTTATTTTACGCCAATGAATAGCAGTGGCAGCTAGGGGTGTACAACTCCTCTAGAGCAGTTTTGAGAGAAGATCTCATTGGTAGCGATTCAAGTTGCAGTTTATTGGCAATAGCATTGCAGACCCTGGGGGCATCAACAGCAAAGGCCCTTCCTCCAGTATTTGTACGGCAATAAGGAATGTGAAGCTGGTAAATGAGCGAAGACCTTAGGTCACATTTGTTCTTTGAAACAGAGAGGATATCCAGCAGGTAGTCTGCGGATTTTTTTGTAAGTACATCGTGAATAAATAAGATCTGGTGCACAAGCCGTCGAACATTAAGAGATGTTAAGTTTCACCCAATGTAGAGATCACAGTGGTGAGTCCTATATGGGCAGTTCAATGTTAACCTTAAGGCCGAGTGATAGATGGAATCAAGCTTCTTCAGTACAGTACTTGGGGCTGATTTATACACGATGTCACAGTAATCAAGTAGAGGCAGTATGGTAGCTTTTATAAATTCCAAACGGAACATAGGGGGGAAGCAGTGCTTGTGTCGATACAGAAAACCAATTTTCATTTTTGTCTTTTTACCAATATAATCAATGTGATCTTCAAAATTCAGTTTTGAATCCAGGATGACCCAA